AGTTACTTACCCGACCTATCGCTTAGAACTTACTCGTCTAACGAGCTCTAACCCCCTTATACCGTAGGTGTATAATAGCTAGTTTAAGGTACTATTTCTACTTTCTAGAGTATCTCTTATTATTATTTTTATAATATCTGCCTACAAAATAGAGTTAGATACTAAAGTAATCCCTCCTAAGATATTCTACTCTACTAAAATAGTCTATTACTCCGCCTACGATAGGATTTCTCCCCTGCGTCCAAAGCTCTTAGCCGTAGGGAGGAACGTTCTCGTTATAGGCGGAGGCACGGGGATCGGCAAGTCTATCGCTCTAGAATTTGCTCGAGCTGGAGCTTAATCCATCTCCATTGCAGGACGGCGCGAAGATCGATTGCAAGAAGCCGCGAAGGAGATCACCGCCGCCCGGACGAACAGCAACACGAGCGTAACCTACAACTCTGCCGCATCAAGCAACCCTAGCCTGTCCTCGGTAACATCGTCTTCGACGTCCTTGTCTAGCTCGTTGACTGTGACTTCGTCGACAATAGCCAGCGCATCGACTCCTCTTGACCCAGTCACGACTTCTCGCTCGTCGTCGAGCTCCACTGCATCGGCGACTACCTCCAGCCGATCAAGCTCAATCGTGTCAGCAAGCTCGTCCACGCGACCCGGCCCGCCAACGTACAGCATTCCCAACTACCGACCAACGGTTTCCAGCTCGAAGTCGTCGATTACCGTAAGCACGCCAGTCGTCTCGTCCAGCTCCTCGAGCTCAAAGGTCTCTACAAGTGTGTTCTCAAGCTCCTCCAAAATAACAAGCACTGCGCCGGTCTCTGCCACGACACCGTTGTCTACTTCGACCAGAAGTGCAAGCTCTTTATCGCGCAGCAGTAGCCAGTCATCAAGTTCTAGCTCGACCCGTAGCTCTTCTGTTAGCAGCACGACCGGTGTCTCTACCACAGTCTCGAACAGCAAGGCTACGACATCTACTGCAACCGTACCTACCACGCGAACCAGCTCCGGCTCTTCATCCTCTTCCACCAGCCATTCGAGCAGTTCATCTACTAGCCGCTCGAGCAGTTCATCTACTAGCCACTCGAGCAGTTCGTCTGCCAGCCAGTCCAGCTCTATCTCGCGAAGAAGTTCCAGCAGCCAGTCCAGCTCCAGATCCTCGCCTGCCAATTCAACTCCCGTGGCGCCAGTCACTCAGTCAGCTACAACGACTACTGCCAGCCAAAGCCACACCAGCTCAAGCTCGATCTCACCAGTCACACAAACGTCGACTGCAACTGCTAGCCGCTCAAGCACAGACCCTGTCTCCACAACATCGACCGTCAGCGCAAGTCGATCGACCTCCAGCCCAGCATCGCCTGTGACCCAGTCAACCACTACCTCGAACCACAGCTCATCAAGCCCGCCAGCCTCCACATCGACTATCAGCGCAAGCCGATCCAGCTCTAGCCCGGCGTCGCCTGTAACCCAGTCAGCTACCACCTCGAGCCATAGCTCGTCAAGCTCATCAGCCTCGATATCGACCTTGTCCACACTGCAAACATCTAGCAAGCCGACCACGACCTTGGCAGCTCCTCAGCAGACACCTCCCGTCTTCAACCCTTGGGCGCACAACGGGAGACCACAGGGCCCACCTCAAGGTAACCCATGGGCCAACCAAGGTCCTCCCCAACCACAGCAGGGCAGGCCCAATAATAGCCCACCATGGATGTCGAACATGTGGGCCGGAATGGAAGGCTTCTTCAATAGCTTGAGGAATGGTGGACCGCAGCAGGACGGGGGACGACCGAATATTGGTCGTTTCGGATGGAGGGAGTAGATGCAGCGAGGTGACGTGTAGGAGAGGAGAGGTATGATGAAGGTCGGAGACGAAGGAAGAGAGTGGACAAGACGTCCTACTCATTTAACGGTTGGAAACGAACCTGCATCGCACACGAAGCGCTTTCACAAGCAGCAAATACCCTTCTGCATTTACTTAGTCCTTTTATTTCTTTGTACGCAATGAGGCGAATAGATGTTCCATGACGTCCAGCTCAACGTCTATTCTTCCTCGAGCACGTAGCTTTTACAGACTGTGTGGCCAGATGTCAGTACGAATGTAGATTCTGTTCATCGTGATACCTGACATCCAGACGACGTTCTCTCCTACAGGCTTATCGGTACGCGGACATGTCTTGAGATGTGGAAAGTTTGTAGGTTCTTGGCGTAGCTTGACCAAGGCTTGATGTGTCGCGTACGGTTAGCGGTGTGTATTGTGTCCCCTTGCCATGCTTCGTTTTCTTACGGGATGCCGTGCTCACCGGACATGTGTACAGAACGTTGCGCGAGAGGTAGCATGGGAGAAAGCAGGATTCACTACTGCGGGTAAGCTCGTGAGATTGTATTCAATCGCTTCTGCCGATCGTCAAACAGTCCTGAGTTGCTTCTTGCATGTGTATACTTCAAGCTTTGGCACGTGACCTCATTCCTATCGGATGAAGCGGCTGGTGAAGTTTGGTGGCTGCTCCAATACGATTCTGCGAGGTACAATTCTTCCGAGAAATTTCCACGACATGCTTAAGTGCTGCGATCCGATGGAGCAATCCTGCCAATGATTGGCAGGATTGCTACAGATCCGATAACAACTAATGTGATACCATGATATCGCTACTGCAAAAGGATAGATTCGACAAACGGCACACATATAATTAGATCGAAGATGACTTTGAGAGAGCCAACAACTTCCTCAGACGCCTCATTGGCTTGGCTAGAGCTTAGCGCAAAAGCTTGCCTTTATGAAGAAGGTCGATAGAAGCATCGACTCGAGCCAATCCTTCATTACTACACTTTCTCGTAGTACATCGCGTGCGTGCGGGTTGAGCTTTCAACACCAACCTCACCTTCGTCCCGATCGTCAAGGTCTTATCGCGTGCACGCCGTTCCGGTTGCAGCGTAGCTCAGCCATGGTCGCTGCATGACGGCCCTCGAGCTGCTGCTTCGAGTAACATCGCCTATCAGTAGACCGGGATCTGCAATCATGCCAATAGGCTTTTGGGAATGGTGTGTATGGTACAGTGGCGGTCGTCCGCGCACTGATGTAACCTTACATGCGCCCACCATGTTATCGCGCAGGATGGTAGGATATTATCCCCTCAAGTCCCAGGTGCAGGTCGAATCTGCTCTTCCCTTCCGCATCGCATTGGTGGGTGAGCTTTGTTGACGTACAGCCATCATGTCTCAGCGTCCTGGCTTCTCGCGAGTCGATACAGACAGAGCTGGAGACCCTGCGCCTGATTCGTCTAGAACCTATGAGCTCAAGGACTTCGGCGACGAGTCCAAGGGTGGTTTCCAAGCCACCGACGAAGCCTTCGAGCCTAACGAACACGACTTTAAGCCGCCTCCAGAGTACGATGGAGTTCGCGAGGGCGCTCAGGTCACCGACAAGGTCGAAACGGCGGCTGATCTCGTCACCAAGGTCATCCATATCGAGGACGATCCAACCGTCAATTGCTTGACTTTCCGAACATTCTTCATTGGTAAGTCGATCGATAGCATCAATGAGGATATGTTCGGGTTAGTACTGACATCTACCTCACCAGGTCTTGGCCTCTCCGCCTTTGGTTCCGTTCTGCAGGAAATCTTCTACTTCAAGCCTCAGACGATCTTCGTGTCCCTCATCTTCTTGACGGTGTGGGCTTACGTTATTGGCGACTTCATGGCATTGGTGATTCCACGAAAGGGCGCGATTGGGCGATTCCTGAACCCTCACCCATTCAACTCGAAAGAGCATGCTGCTATTACTATAATGGCATCGGCTGCCGCCCAGTCAGCGTTGGCAACGGAGGCTTTGGCCGCACAAGAGCTCTTCTATGGTGGTTATCCATCCAAGGCGGCTGGTATCTTTGCGACTTTGGCGTCGCAGTTGATCGGATTTGGTGTCGCTGGTATGCTGGGGTGCTTTCGATGTTATGGTGGGGTTTGAGGCTGATCGATCGTTACAGGTCTGCTCCGTGAAGTTATCGTTCACCCAACGAAGATGATCTGGCCTATGACTCTGCCCGTGTCCAACCTGCTCGAAACCATCCATCGTGACCGGACTGAGACCAAACGCAAGATGCGGATCTGGTATATGATCTTCTTCGCCATCTTCTTTTGGGAGCTTCTGCCCGAGTACATCTTCACGACTTTGATTGGAATCTCTGTGTTCTGTTTGGCAGATCAGCACAACCTGTTCTTCGTGAGTCCTATACCACCGTTCGAATTGATCGAATAAGATCTGACGTTTCCAGACAAACTTCTTCGGTGGCGCAACGGGCAACGAAGGTCTTGGTGTACTCAACATGAGCTTCGATTGGAACTATATTGGTTTGTCACACCTGCTGAATCGTATCGGCTGTGCGCTGACTTCGAAAAGCTCCTTTCTTCAGCCCTCTGTGGTATCCATTGTCGAGTACAGTCAATACGTACGTCTTGCGATCATTTCAAAGCGCATGAGAAACGACAGCTGACGTCGAAATTAGCATGCTCGGGATCATTGGGTGTTATGCATTATTCACAGGTGAGTCATTGCATTTCTGCCTTGATCCGGACACTGTAGGCAGCACAACGGATGTGTCGACGGAGTTCGAACATATCCAAAATTTCGGCCGAGCGTTTCGGAGTCCTCGGACTTTCCACACCTGTCACTAACGCCACACTAGGGGTGTACTACAACAATATCTGGGAGGCCAAGAGCATGCCGTTCCTGTCGCAAGAGCTTTTCAACCTCACTGCCTCTAACACGACCTACTTCTCCGTCTACAACCAGAGCTTGATCTTGACCGATAATTTCGAGATTGACTTCGCCGCTCTAGAAGTCCAAGGTGTCCCGTAAGTGAACGCCCGACTATGCTGCCACCTCGTGATGCACTCCTCGTAAGCCTAGGGGCCACCAGATCCTTTTATGGCCCGTAGGCTTACGAGGAGTGCACCGCCGGGTGCTATTATGACATTCTCTACCGACTCTAATCTCATTGCAGCTATCTCACCGCCACCTATGTCGCCTATATCCTCACCACCAACATGGGACTTACGGCCACCATTACATACATGCTCTTGTGGAACTGGGATGATCTGAAGTACGCATGGGCTTGGGCTCATCCGTCCAGCCTCCGAAGGATCTTCCAGAAGGACAACCTCATGTTCTGGCGCAACCAAGAGACTCCGGCAGAACGAAGCGCACGCAAGCAGAGCGATCCTAACCTTGACCCCCATTACAAGCTCATGCTTCGCAATGGGTATAAAGAAGTGCCACTCTGGTGGTGGGCTGCTGTCCTTGTGGGCTCCTGGGTCGTTGGACTTGGTTGCATGTATGCTCTTGAGGTAGGACACCCATGTACGAAATTGTGCAATCGAAGCCCGAGCTAACACTTCCGACAGTCGACCTTACCGTGGTGGGGGTTCCTAATCGCTACTGTCTTCGTAAGTGCCATAGGCAGAACCCATGGTCGAGAGGGTCACGGATTTACACTAAGTTTCATGCAGACCTTCATCTTCACCCTGTTCTTCGGCGCTCAGTACGGTATGACTGGCTTTGGCTTCAATCTTCAGCCGATTTGGTTCGTGATGCTTGATTATTAAACCGCTCGGTGTCCCTGCTAACAACGACCAACAGCCAGATGCTGGCAGGATACATGTTCCCTGGTCGACCTCTTGCGTACGTCAAAAACAACCATTATGTCGTGGCTGCTCATCAGTGCATATGCTAATGAGCCTGATGCAGCAATTTCTGGTTCACCTGCTTCACCTACAACGCGACTAACGAAGCGCAAGTCCTCGCCAAGGATCTCCGCCTTGCGCAGTACACGCACTTGCCTCCTCGTATCACTTTCGGTCTCCAGATCCTCGGATGTCTCGTCGGTGCTCTTTTGAATTGGGTCATGATGATCACCATTGTCGACGCTCAGAGGGGCTTATTGACAGCCATCCAAGGCTCCTCGATCTGGTCCGGACAGAACATCCAGATCTTCAACTCGGCTGCCATCACATGGGCTATGGCACCTAAGCTGTACAGTATTGGGCAGCGTTACCAATGGGTATGTCTCCGTCGCACATGGCCATTCCTACAGACGCTCGATGTCGCTAACCCACTTCTTTAGTGCACCATCGTCTTCCTGGTTGGCTTCCTGGTTCCCCTACCGATGTACGCTATGTACAGATGGCGAGGCAACAAGAAACTCTGGAGCTACATCAACCCCTCGATTATTCTATGGTTCATGGTAAGTGGTGATAGTGTGAACCTTTGTCTGTGCATTGATGGGTTCAAATTAACACTTTCGGCAGGGTAACTTGTTCGTGGGCATCAACGCTGGCTTCACGACCTTCTTCATGATCGCGTTCACCTTCCAATGGTATCTCAGGAAGTACCATCCCAAGTTCTTTGTGGAGTGGAACTACCTCATCTCAGCCGCTCTCGATGGTGGTACCCAGGTATGGATCAAACCTTATGTGAGCTTTTGACGCTACTATGCTGACCTCACCATAGATCATGATCTTCATCCTGACATTCGCCGTTGCTGGTGGCAGTGGTGTGGCTCATCCATTCCCTACATGGGCTGGAAATCCCGATCTTTCTGTCACCAACACAGACCATTGCATGGTCAACCCTGGTAACATTGGGTGATCGATACTCGGGAGAGTGCTTGAACGCGCGACAGTGAGGAGATGTGTATAGTGGATACTGGATGGTGCAGTGACATGAACGAGACATAGCGCAGAACGAGTCTCTGTACGTCAAATATATGGACGAGAGCAGACCCTCTTATGAGCATCGTGATAGCTCCTTGCGTGCCCTCCTCACCTTCCACGAAGCTTCGCTCTGGGTCAGCAGCGTTGCTGTCCTGCTTAGCAACTCATATTGCCTCCACTCCTGTCGGGATCGAAATGCTCCTCCGCACCAGTCCTTTGACGGTCCCGGGATAATCCGAGCTATCACGTGCTTTACAACACAAAGTATGTATCCCTTTGGAATTGCGGTTGAGCTCTACCCTTGCCAAGTCCGTCTGCTTCATGCCGCAAATCCCAGCCTTTGCCTACCTTATTCTGGCTCTTTGCTACGCTCGACTCGAGCCTTGCTCTGGCGGCATCGATGATCTCCACAGGGAACGCAACACTCGCCATAATGCCGTTCTAGGTTTCCTCAGCGAGCTGGCTATGTCGGAAGATCTTCCACATCCGCTGCGGCCCTACAACGTATTCGGTATTTCGCCAACGATTCTCCGCACGAATGGAGAGTATGGCTTGAGACGATCCCTCGATACTTGGCTCTGCGAGCACAACGACGACATCCGTCGTGCTAGGGGAAGCGTGATACATCTAGCCAGTCAAGGCTTGTGAAAGCCGGTTCTCTTCTTGATCGTCGCAACAAGCCTCGACCTTACAGGTGAGCGTTGACCACTGCTCCATGTGCATACGCCCATCGTTGTCGTGCTATCTCATGCCGCTGGTCGCATATGCAGGAGCCCACCTACCTGGTCAAGTCGACGTGGTGTGACCTGGGAATACGAGACACCAGACCCACCAGAACCGTTGAACGTCCACGGAACGTTGGCGAGGATGTTCTCCAGTCTGCGTAACATGATATGCGGCTATCGTCATCGAATCGCCATGCCGGCAGCACGTAACTGTTGAAGCGTGGGAGGCTGCATATTGTGTGGCAGCCACCGTAAAGTCACTTCATGGCAGTGGCCAGTAATGCATCACGTTCGATGCTCAATGTCAATAGTCTGGTATCAAGGTAAGAGGAGGCGATGGTCGAAGTGAGTCTCGATTTGTGCAATATCTAGACTGTGTCCAATGCCTCAGCTTCTGCGAATAGCTCTGCCGTCCCTTCTCCTCCTTCAAACATATGTACAAGCCTCCTCGTCTCCAATATCTCAATAATAATTTACAGCCGTGTGTCTCTCCACATCAATGCGCATTGTGTCCAAAGGTGTGTGCAAAGCAAGCCACATACGCCCTTTAGGCGCCCAAAGAGATATAAAAGAGGGAATGTGCGTCGAGGCGTCTTGGTATCATGAACAAGAAACGACCTTTCCCTCCTGAACTCGCAGAAACGCCTTGCTAACCCATAGCAGAAAAGTAGTTGAACAAGCGAATGTGGTAATCGAGGTGTTACGTATGTTATAGTCCAAGGTTATCGACGTTCTGCTGGAACTGCGCTTTCTCAAGACTCCGTCGTGATCGTTGTGAGTTTGACGCATTGCGCACTGGCTCGCGAGGATCTCGAGATTCAGGTGGTGGAAGTGGCGAGCTCGGTAGTGGTGGTATCCTGGAATACGTCGTCAGATCGATGTTGGCGTATGCCTCTTGCTTGTGTCTTGTCCTACCTTGGAGCTTCTACGAAATGTGATTTGGTTCGCAGCAGATTCACCACACTTCTACCAAATTTGCGAGCTTTCACGCTTGGAGTTGGGTTCCGCGATAGCATGCTCGCATCTTCCATCTCCCGGACTTTGATTTCCATTGCGACGTTGTATTGCTGTTGTCGTGCTTGCTGTTTCCGGAACTCCTCTTCCCAAGGTTTGCGCATCTTGATATAGTCTTCCGGGTTGAAAGGTGGATACTTAGGCTTCTCCGGTTCGACTGGCTGATGCGGTTCAGGTCCTGGTAGCGCCGTTGCAGCCCACGAGCTGTTCTCGGGAGTATGTGTACTGCCTGCAGTGCTAGGCGTTGGGCCTGCGCCGCTCGGGATGGTTGGAATGTGGAGTGCGTGCGGGATGTTCAGTGGAGGAAGCTGTCCAGTGGCGCCTGGAGTAGCTGGGGGCGACAATGGTGCGCTTGGAGTGAGCAGCATGGTTGAGGTGATGCGCTGCTCGTTGATATTCTGGCAGTAAACCTCGTCCAGGAATTGGATAAGAATTTGTACGTCGGAAGATGTGCTCATAGCTCCCAGGCTTACTCGTACAACGCCGGTCGGCTTGCCAAGCATGATCTGGGTGGGATTGGAGCAGCGATGACCAGCTGCGTACGCCGCCTTCATCTCTGCTGGAGACCAATTGAGGTATGTCGCTACGCCACCAGGGTTGCAGAGCGATCCGCTACGCACGAAGATATTTCGATCGTCCGCTGCCTCTTCGACGTCCTCGTAAGGTATCAGAGTTCCATCGGCATGCTGTACATTGAACGCGATGGTCGCTCCTTGCACGGATGGATCGCCATATACAGCGTGCTCGTCCTTGTATACACGTGCCAGTGGTAGGCCGTTGCTGTGCTTCAGTCCTACCAGGCTGTCGTATAATTGCTTGCCCAGTTGTGCAGTGTGGTGTGATATGAATTTCATCGGATTCGGTCCATATAGTCGTTCGTGAACATTCATCGCATGATCCAGTGCGAAAATTGAGTGGAAAGGTAAAGTGCCGTCCTCCAGACGGTCGTGTGTTGAGACGTCCTTCTTCGCATGCCAGGTGTCATTGACAGCGATGACCATCTCGACTGTACCACCGCCGAAGTACTTGCGACTCTCCAATACGTGTGCTGAGTCCTTCCGCACCAGTAGAGCGCCTATGTTAGGGAAGCCGAAAATCTTGTAGAACGATAGAGCTACAAAGTCAGGTGCGGTCGCCGGGTCAGACAAGTCTAAAGGCGCTGTGCTTGCAAGCGCAGCCGCATCCAGAAGTGTATATGTCGCCGCCTTGTGGAACGATTTGCGGATGCGTCCGGCCCTGCGTTACGTGAGTATAAAAGGACATCTGTGACACATACGAGCAATTTTACTCACCATGATGACGGTAGCCGTCGCCCTGTCATATTCGACTGACCAGGATAAGCAAACAAACCGAGCTGCCTTGCTCGTGGACCACCCAGTCCGCCACTGTTGATCCATATGTCCACTTCCTCGTCGCTTGTGAAACATCTGTGCATCTTCGTAGATTCTCTTACGCCGACCAGCGACGTGTGCGCGTCTTTGTGGTACCCATACCATACTGGCGTGTTGCTTGTGGCTGCGTGATCCTTGAAGCATTCAATGACAAGTTTGATGGCGGCCGTCGCGTTGGCCACGAAGACAAGATCCCAATGTTCTGGATCGGCGTTGAAGAAACGTAGTGCTCGCTCTCTGATGAGGTCTACTCGATGGCCTGCCAGCGCCGAGGGTGTCGAGGCCGAATGAGGGTTGCCATAAAGATTCGAAATGAGATCCGCCGAAAACTCCTCTACTAGTGACTTTGCGTATAGCTATGTAATGGTCAGTAAGTGATCGATGGCATCACGCCGGGTATACATACAGTAGTCCCGCCATGGTCCATGTACACCTTCCCTTTCAACTGCGGATACTCCTTGTCCCTAAACTCTTCCACGTCGTCCGGCATATCAGATGAGTCAGGTGTCGTGAAGTCAGTCTCATACTCGGGATCGATGTCGCTGACAGATGAATGATCCTCGAATGTGGTTGTTGGGTATGCGAGATATTTGTGAGCGGGCTGTTCGTTGTTTTGCGATTGCCTCGATGCCGCACCTATCGACTTCGAACGCTTGGGTGGTGATGATTCCGATGAGTTCTGTACGGCGTTGGCGATATAATCCGGGATATCCATCGCTGTTGGTGAATGTCTCAGTGTCGAAGTGAGAGATTAATCCTGGCCCAAGTACATCATCGAAGGAGTGGCTGCTGATCGAGAAGTATCGAACTGATGTACCCTAATCGAGCTGGTCGAATGTCCAAATTCACCAATCTCCGTCAGCTGTCGTCGTCACAAAGCTGCCAAACGAGCGTCGTGAGTGTGACAAAGGCACCTCTGGGTCGCGAGAGTACACAAGAAAGCCACTCGCAGAATACAAAGAAGATCTGTGTCAAGTCCAAGTGCTAGAACGTCGCCCGTACCAGATTGAATGAACGTCCCCCTGCACGCATGTGATTGGCTGCTATGATGATCGATGCCGAAAGATTCAGTCCAATTTAGGATGCACAAGCCGCGCTATTCCTGGGATGGGTAGGCGGGTGCCGCTGGTCTCCTGAGCGAAAGTTCACCAAGACCGCGGATGAGAGGAGCGCTGGGCAACGGCACTCACGATCACGCTCGAATAGTCTCTTCTATGGAGATCGACGACAAATACATTGCTCATGGACGCAGATTAGTGAATGTGTTCCACATGCTTCCACGAGCGCTAGCAGTCACTGTCGACACTGCAGATGTCGCACAAGTAACGCCGTCGTACGTCAACGTGGTTTACTAGAAGGCTATGCATCTGCAGCAGCTACCCGGACAGCTCAGTGTGGTACAACATTGGGCAGAGCAAGCCGCTCGAAGGCGGTCGATATCGATCGGTGGGTATGCGTATCGCCTGCGAGGTCATCAAACATTGTCACTGCAGTGAGTGGCGAGCTCTGCTAGGCGAAGGTGTCGTCGGCTGGCTGGATAGCAGGCGACTGCCGCATTGGAACGGTCGTCGTCCCAAGGAACTCTGGATCGGCGCGACCATTCGCTGATCTTCGGTCAATCTATTGCCCAGAAGCGCCTTAAACTGGCGGTCTCTTTAGTGCCCGTAGGTCGGCGTCAGAAACCTCACGTGTACCCAGTTTACCGACATTGGCACTATTCTATTTGCATGGATGGCACGGTGTGCAAAAGGGTCTTCTCCTTTCCTCACAATCAATTCCAGCGTAGTCTCGCCACCGGAGCAGGGTGGAACTCTGAAAAGCAAGCGGATTTGCATCAGAGTCCATAAGGGGCGTCTGCACGAAACGGCGACCTATAGCCCTAAGTGACCAACGGCTGACGCGCGTGGAACCCTGCAAGCGATAGCTATGCGTCAGCGAAGGTGACACGATAGCTGCATAGCAAGTGCTCTTGTGCCACATGAGAAGTTCTGTCTGCTGGTCTGCCAACGAGTCGTCAAGCGCTCGCCAGATGAAGCAACAAGGAGAGCGGTAGAATTATGCCCCTGAACCAATGAAATGCTATCTGACTAGTAAGAAACGGCGGTCCCAGAGAATGCAGGTACCGGCTTTTCGCTGCCCTATCACTTCGCGCCGTCGCCGCCAAGTCTTCTAAGTAGTGGCTTGCTTCGCAGGCGTATCTCTCAGTTAAGGTTAAGCCTTTGCAAGGATGACCTCGTATCGCGACATGCCCATGCAAGCGCCAACCACTCGTGAGAACGGCGTTGAGCGTTTGCTACGCGTATGGCGTCCGCAGACGATGCAGTTCTCGAACGCCGACCCCATCAAATCTGGCGGGACGGGGGCAAGGAAGCTCTGCTTTGGTGCTGCAAGCTGCGGGAGGTCTCGAAATGTCAGACGGCAAAAAGTCTGGGTGCCTCGCCTCTTTATGCCCAGCAACCTGCAGGTGACAGATCTGTTGACCCTCCATTCTCAACTCCCGTGACACCCTAATCGACCTCGACCTGCAATAATACCCCCTCCTTCCCGCACTGACGCTTTATCCTCTCGCCAACGTTCGTTCCTCTTCACTACCTCGCTGCCAGTGTCTTTGGTCTGCTCTTTGTCCACCGCACACAAGTAACCGACTACAAACCACGAGGCTTCACTCATTCGCCTTTGTTTGCTCTTTGTCACAAGGAAGCTGGTCTTCGGCAATCCAAGGCACACTCCCGATCACTCACCGCACAGGCACACTTCGGTGCCAGCTCGAGTCACAAAACTGGCTCTCCCAACCGCGATCCCAGATCGCAAGGGCTACGATAAGATGTCTGATATTGAGAAGATGATCGGTGGCGACTACGCACAGCTCACAAACACCAACATTCGCAGCTTCGGATGGAAGGGCGTCACAGTCACCGTCAAGGATAGGCAATCGCAGCAGCCAAAGACCATTCTCTCTGACATCAATGGCATTGTCAAGGCTGGCGAGCTCCTTGCTCTCATGGGACCTTCGTGAGTTGACTCTACAACAGCACTACACAAATGGGCGTTGCTAATCGATTGACAAACAGCGGTTCCGGCAAATCCACACTGCTGAACGTGCTCGCACACCGAACAGCGGCTCTGGCTGCCAATGTCAAGGCAGCCATCTACATCAACGGCTCGGCTGCCAACCCCAAGACCTTCCGGCGCATCTCTGCCTACGTCGAACAAGAAGATGCTCTTGTCGGCTCGCTCACCGTCCGCGAGACCCTCAACTTTGCGGCGCGTTTGTCGCTGCCCAGAACTGTCAGCAAACTCGAGCGCATTCAGCGTATCGAGGCACTCCTCACAGCCTTCGGTCTTCAAGGCCAGGCAAACAACTTGATCGGTACGCCAATCAGGAAGGGTATTTCTGGTGGTCAGAAGCGTCGTGTGTCCGTTGCTGCTCAGCTCATCACCAGCCCAAAGCTGCTTTTCTTGGACGAGCCGACATCTGGTCTCGACTCCGCCGCCTCATTTGAGGTCATCTCGTTCGTGAAGGACATCGCGAAGAAGCACAATCTGATCGTGATCGCGTCGATCCATCAGCCGTCCACCTCAACATTCGCCATGTTCGACAAGTTACTGCTCCTGTCGCAAGGTGGCACTGCGTACAGTGGCCCTGTCTCCGAGGTCCAGCCATACTTTGACGCCTGCGGCTTCCCAATCCCGCTCTACATGAACCCAGCTGAGTTCATCATCGATTTCGTTAACACCGATTTTGCTCGTGATCGCAGCGAGGTCGACCAGCAGCTCAACATGGTGCATTCATCGTGGCATAAGTCACGCTTGGCTTCCGCCACCGTGACTGAGCTCACTGACGAAATGGCCCGCAACTCCATGGACACCGATGTCAATGCCGAGCAGCACGAGGCCTCTGCCGGGGCTATCGCTATCCCGATGGCGCTCATCCACCGATCCTTCATCAAATCATACCGTGATATCATCGCCTACGGTATCCGAATTGCTATGTATATGGGCCTGGCCGTCATGATGGGTACCGTCTGGCTCCGCCTAAACCCAACCCAAAACAACATCCAGTCCTTCATCAACGCCATCTTCTTTGGCGGTGCCTTCATGTCCTTCATGGCTGTTGCTTATATCCCGGCTTTCCTGGAAGATCGTGCTCTCTTCATGAAGGAGCGCGCCAATGGTCTCTACGGCCCAACTTCTTTCATCATCGCCAACTTCATCACCGGCATCCCATATCTTTTCTTGATCGCCATGCTCTTTTCGATTGTCGCTTACTGGCTCTCGAATTTCCGACCCACCGCCGAGGCGTTTTTCACCTGGGTCATGTGGCTCTTCCTCGATCTGATCGCAGCCGAATCCCTGGTCGTCCTCATCAGCTCCCTGATCCCTATCTTCGTCGTTGCGCTCGCCGGTACAGCCTTCGCTAACGGTCTCTGGATGTGCACGGGAGGTTTCCTCGTCCCACCACAGACGCTCAACCCGTTCTGGCGCTACGTCTTCCACTATATCGACTACCAATCCTACGTCTTCCAGGGCATGATGGTCAACGAGTTCGGCCACCGCAACTTCACATGCGCTAAGAGCGAATCCGCGCCTCTTCGCTGCTCATGCATGTACGAGACTGAGCTCGCCGACAAGTGCCTCATTGCTGGCACTGGTGTGCTCAAGAACTACGGCTATGAAGTCGGCAGCACTGGCAAGTGGGTCGGCATAATGATCGGCATCATCGCTGGCTACCGTGTGCTCGGCTGGTTGGTGCTGTACTTGCGACGACAATAGATGGGCCACGAGGCTCTGTTCTTCTTGCGCTCATCTTTTCATCATGTCAAAAACAATTTACATATTATCGGAGGACTTATCAGCAGGGCGATGGGATGTTCAAGGTTTGACGATCGGGCTTGGGGACGTAATACCAGCACTGGGTCACGTTGAAGCAGAAAACCATCTCCTTGGCTAGCTCTCTGGGCATTTACGATTGGCGTTGGGTCTGCAAATTTCACTGTCGTTTCGGCGTAGTAACAGAGATACCAGTTATTAGTGTTACATACTGTATACGGTAAATACAAACATCTTCATCACCACCATCTCAGAGTGATGAGCCCCATCATTAATTGGCTAAGCCATAATAGAGCCGCCGAACATTTCCATATGAGATACGCAGTTTCCGATAGATACGCCATTCTGCAGTATGCAGGAGAGTCACGGCTACTGCAAGCTAGCACTGCCGTCCACGTCAATTTCGCGCTTGATCTCCTCTGCATGGGACGGTCGATGGAGCTGGAGCGGCAGACGCATATCGAAACAGCGACTTTGCCTGTTCCTGAGCGGGTACTTTGCCTTGCATACACTGCCCGAGACGTTTAACAACGTCAAGTCTTCGACCAAATATCCATGACCATAATACTTTCCGAGTTAGTCCTACTCTTCGAACCCCTTCTTCGCGGGTTTCGTGCAAAACTGTGCCGTGCGACCAAAGCCAGACCCTTCACATATCTTCGCCGAAATCGGCCATCCCTACATTGGATCGACCTCTCTCTGTTCATGCCGTGGCGTCTATCAGTAACACGCCACAGTGCTACCCATGAAGCATCACGCGTATCTCAACACGCTTGCTCGACCTCAACAGAGACACGAAGACGACGCGGTCCGACAGCATCGGATCTTGCCAGATGGACCCTAGTCAATAAGAAGCCACCTAGCTTTGTAACCGATATAACCTTGAATTTAACGGGTTTCATCCTTTTCCGGACCTAGCACTCCTTATCTTGCGCGGAAGTCTCCTTTTTGAGGCACTCTCTCCGTCTCCGGGTAGACATGACTCTCGCGTATACCGCTTGTGTCAGCGGATCCAAGGCTCTCTTGGCGAGGGAAATGGAAAGTACTCATGTGCCATGAGTGAAGTCTGGTAAGCAGAACTCTCCAAAGTCCTTTGTGTTGTGGCTGGAGAACGTCGGGTGTACCGAACACCTCTACGTTCTGGTTCATACGTGCCGTCTGGATGCTGTTGACAATGCTTGATGTGATACGGGATGACGATTCGTTGGTGTAGACGACTCGTCAGCTTACCTCTGTCAAGCCAAGCGAGGTGCCTTCAAGCCACTCATCACGATCACATCACGGGCAACCAATCTATTAAGATCACATCACGGACAGCCATGCCATGGTGACCTATGTGGGGAGCCTGTAGCAAAGAACAACTAGGTACGATGGTACGACGGTACATCAGCAATTCCGGTTGCGACACCTTCGACTGCTTGCTTGGGTTCCTTTCTTCAATAATCCAACCACTCTTGATCCGCTCGCCACAGATGTTCTATTTCCTAAGCTTGTCCTCTCTTTCGGCACATGATAGTGATTCGCAAGCAGGTGGGTGTTGTTTGCAGCTGACCCTCCCTGAGGCCGGACTCTTGGTTCGTCAAAACCCACCAAGGACCCCAGGAGCTTTACCGCCAATTGACGAGTACCTGTTTCAGCAACACCGGATCTTCACCTTAAGTGGCAAGACACGTAGGTGTTCGCGACAGCCATACATGCTGCCCACGAGCAGAATCTTAGTCCTGCTCCTCAACACTGATGACCTTGACCCGGGCAGAGAGCAGGTCCCTCAGATCGTACTGTGCTCAGAATTGTGACGTGGTCTTACCGCAGCTTAATCATCGTTGATACAAAGCGAATACCAAACGTCAATTGAAGATCAGGTGGTACTATCAAAGGGGTCCTAGACTTGTAGAGCAGTAGGAGTAGGTAATCTGCTGTCGCCACATGCCTAACGTTGTATCACCAGGAGCTGCACGCCCTGTTTGTCTTCACGTCACAGTAGCAGGTCATGTCCCAGTCTTCGCGTGCAGATAACGGACGAGTAAGAAGTACGAATTCATGCTCGTATGGTATATATATGTATATATGCTCGTCTGGCACGATAGACTCGAACATTACTGTCATACCGCCACCCTGTCCAGACGGAGTGCATGCATTTCAAGGCCAGGCGCGCTGCTTCGTACACGCCCAAACGTTTATGCCCTTCGCCTAGACATCTAGTACTCATCGCTGTCATACTCCTCGTCAGGTAGCAGCGCCCTGTACCGTCTGCTCGCCAGATCCTGCTCGAGTCCGCCATCGCTCCCAGGGTCTGCGTAACCTGTACAGATTGTCAGTGAAAGCAGTCTCTCAGCATGAGAGGAGAGATCTGAAGACATACCTTGTCCACCAACCAGACTCAAAGCCACAGGCAAGAACACCAATGCATGCAGCGCCGCCCAGATAACCAAAGCCAACCACACTCGGAAGTAATACACCTCGAAAATCTTGCTCCGCGTGAAAGCCAGCACGAAGACTCCAAGGAGTTTCGTGATAGTGATACCACTGAAGACACTCCCACCAACATTGACCAGCGCTGCCCATGCCCTGGCTTGTCGGCTCCCAATCCCAGCCGCAGAACCAGCCCTCGTCGATCCAAGAAGAGAAGAGGGCGTTCGCTCCAGAATGCTGGCCGATGGGGTAGAAAAGGCGCGAGCAACGTGAGCGCAGAATTCGACGCCGATGCCGACGCAGATGACCACGTTGACGAGGGAGACAGCATTCAGCGAGACGCCTACGACACTCATAGTACCGACAACATCGACCACAATCATAGCCACCGTGAAAGTGACGACCATACCCGTAGCCAGAGACCCAAGAAGGGTGGTGGTGATCACTAGGATGAAAGCCAGTGCGCTCCCGACCAACGCAGTGCTGAGGTGCACGATAGAAGCGTATTGGTCGAAGAAAATGTAGAACTTGCTGTACGGGAACACTTTAACACCTTCATTCCTCTCAGAAATGGAATCTGCAATGCGGCGGGCAGAGGCATAAGCTGCGATGAAATCTTCCTGAGATCGAAGGGGCGTGTGTGCCGTCCTGAAATGCGAAGCAGGAATGCTCAAGCTCTTGGTGTCAAGGACGACGGCATCGCCATAAGTAGCTTGGCCTGCGAGTGGACACTCTGGTGTCGTAGGGCTTTCCAACCATTTCTCCATGTACGAGATGAACTCTTTTCCCTCCGGCATACCTGAGAGGGAGATGTTCCAGCTTGGGTTCCTGTCCTCGAAACATGGGCTACCGTCGGCAGAGACACAGCACTCTTCCAAGTCAGGATTCAACCAGTACAGGTAATCGTCTACCCAGCTCGCCGTCGCATCGGCGATGAAAGATACCTCGGGTCTCTTTCGCTCTTGTTCGAGGATGTTGGCGAGGGAGAAAGGTTCGCATGTCCCGAATCTGCCGCAAAGTTGTTGTTGTCGATGTCGTTCCGTAGCGTTCAGGTCCTTGACTACGAAGTAGACAGGTGGTCCGGCGCCGAAGTAATCGTATAGATCGTTGAAGTAGTCGATCAAGTATGAGCCCTGCGGGACCGCAATTCTTTGATCCAGACCAAGTTGGAGATGAGGTAGGAGTGAAAGGCCGGCAGTGAAGAGGCCGAGGAAGATCGTGATGATGCCGATTCTTGCTTTGTTGCCCAGAATAGCAGGCGCATATGTCTTGCGAATGAATCGTGATAGCCATCCCTCCTCCTCCATTCCACCAGAGAAAGGTGCACCGCCGTAGCCGCCTGGCATGTTCGCTGCTGAGTTGGAAGAGCCTTTTCCTGTAAGCGTGAGGCAGGGTACACAGTCCATCTTGCCCGCCTCCACTCTCTCCTGGTTCCACCCAAGCACAGCAACGAACATTGTCACTTGCAACATGGCGTTGATTGCTACAGCCCCGGCAGCATAAGCAGCGAAATTCCTCACGGCAGGCATACCCACCGCCGCTCCAAGGGCGAAAGCCACCGTCTCTGTAAGAGCGGAGAGAAGGATACTCGGACCCATGCGCCCAAGCGTCCGGCCAACTCGGTCTGGCACACCCTCGTCGGCGTGTGAGATATTGACCCTCTCGAACTCATGTACCAAGAGGAAGATATTGTCCACGCCCACGGCCAGAACCAGGAAGGGGATAACTTCAGCAATAATAAGTGTAGCCTTCACGCCTAGAGCTGCGAACAATCCAACCGAAGCCGCTACACTCATGAGCACGATAACGATTCCCACGATACCGAGAGAGAACTTCGACTGCACAAGTGCTTGTCTCGGATTTCGCAAGATCAGCGAAGGAGTGACTGTCGTCGAGCCCAGAGCGAGAGAGGCGTAGAAAAACATGACGATGTAACTCGCCACCACGATCTTGGCATCGGTGTTGGTGTTCTTGTTGAGTTCCTGCTCCAGGGAGATTTCAGTATTGAAAGATAGTCGGAGGCCTCGCGATTTAGCTTCATGCTGGATATCCAGCAGCAGACGCTGAGCGCTTTCCTCCCACTCCTCGACCTTTGGCAGCTCAGGCGCGCCGGGGTTGTAGTTCGTATTGACCCACGTCGTCACCAACGCCGTAGCCTTCGTGATCGGCTCAGAGCTGTAATTGTACCCACCTAGCAATCGCTGAATGACCAATGGCTGTCCAAAATCCGGCAAGCAATTCACCGGCGTATCAACACAATCCTGAATCTGCTCCGCCCAATCGCTCTCATCAAGTTGCTCAAAAGATCCGCCAAAGTATTGAGTGATGCTCTGAATCACGCATGCTTCACCAGTAGGTTTATAGCACACATCATCCAGCGTATAACCATTACTCAAACTCTTCTGCTTCGCTACGCGAGCTTCAACATCGAACCACCAGCGTAGGGTATCATAGCTTAGTACCGGTCCCGGAGCTCCAGAGTGCGTATCGTTGACCAAAAAGGCTTGTTCAGCGCGGAAGAAGGGGCCGAAGTTGGTATCGAAGAAGTGTTTCTCTTGTGCCGCGTCTGAGTCGGGCGCCACCCAGAGCTTGACCGGATCGGTTTCGATGGCAAAGCGCATCCAGCCTAGACTCAACAGAGCGACGACGAGGACGGAGCTCGCGATCGTAATGGCTGGGTAGCTGGCGGAGGTCCTGCCTAGACGGCTGAAGGCACGGTCGCAGTAGGTGTTCAAGAAATACTGCTTAGTTGGCCGCTCAGATGGGAAGCCGGCAGACATGTGGACGATATCTCCCTCATCTTCATCGTCGTCTGGGCCGGCGTCTTGCAGAAGTTGAAGGCGTTCGTTCTTGCTCTGGCGATGTTTGGCTGCTGCAACGTGGCCGGTCACTGCTAGGACGAGAAGGGTGATGAAGACAGAGTAGATGATGATCACGGCAAAGCTTAGGCACGGTAGCAGTCCAACATGACAGCTCCCAATCTCCTGAACCTTAGGCAGCTCCGGACAACTGTCTGCACAGTCCACGCAGGCACATCTCCATTGCTCATCCGTGCTGTTGCATGGCTTTGGATCGCTGACAACGGTGTCCATATCCCCGAAATCCTTACTACTCGGTCGTGGGAAGTCGATCTGGAAAGGACTTCCCAGAAACGGCTTCTTATCACCCAAGTACTTCAAGAATTGTGTATAGTTCTTTGCTCCACCACCGATGAATTCCATCGCTCTTCCACCAGTAGCGCCGAACTTGACATCCTTGCAGCTGTCATAAAACCCAGCACCAAAGTCATCGCTAACCAAATGATCGAGCTCGGTGACCAGGAACTTGTCGCCTTTGGGCACCGTCTGCGTGACATTGACGAACAGACTCTGATCCGGCGAACACGTAAAGGCACAAAACATATCATAGAAGTTCTTCTTGCAGGCCGGACATGCGGAGATGATGTTCTGGGCTTTCTTCAGATTGCTCTCCAGTGTCTCGAACTGCTCGGCCTTGCAGCACACATCGCCCTCCGCCCATGAGTCACCGCACACCGAGATTATCTTCTTCCGGAGGTCGTCGGAGGGTGTCTCGGCGAGGTCATTGTCAGGGCAAGGCAATTGGGAGCCGAAGAAGGACTGGCTGCCACAATGACCCCGAATGGCGCAGCGTCCGGCTTCGTGGATGGTGGTGAGGTTGGGTCCATTGGCCGCGACGGTCGAGGTCGCAAGCAGGCTCGTCACGGCGGAGAGCCAGCTTGTCGTCCTCATCGTCGTGGTTGCGGTGCTCCGAAGAGCTGGGTCGATGCCTCACGTGCCCAGTCGTGGAAGCTATTTCCTTTTCGTCTTGCCTGTTGCTTGCCGTCCAGTGCTACGATCCAGTCGATGCGATAGATACAGGCTGGCCACGTAGATGAGATGCCGATGTAGCTCTCGTCGCCACCACGCAAGAGTATACAATCGAGAGTCAACAACACGAAACAGTGAAGCCTGGACACAAACACCGAGCTCGTCTGCTGATTGCCACACGTCACTGCCTGCATCCTGAGTGGCTGGTGAAGCCGCGGAATTATGGATCCCATCCCGCCTCCACAACCGCTTAAGCTTCCCCGAGCCTCATCTACGAATATCTATCCTCGGATCAGACGACATAACTCCGTGGCAATGGCAATGTTCCGCCGATGTGTTTACAAACAAGACAGGCTCAAGTCTTGATTATAGAAAGGTAGGGAGAAAGGTAAATGGGTAGGTAGTGAGAGTCCACATCTCATACACCTCGTCTTACTGGTCTTGAACGACCATTACCTCGGAATGAACACCTACGCACAATGGACGCTGCCGACAACAGACGGCATACACTCCCTGGAGCTCGACGAGAACATTCCTGTGAGCTCCCTGCCACCGTTGGGTGACGGTGATGTCCTGGTCAACATCAAAGCAGCAGCCCTTAACTACCGAGAACTGGTCATAGCAAAGGTACCCACACTCTCCAACTTGTACTCGCCGTCTACTGTCAGCTCATCTTCAGCCAGGGCACCGTCCCAGGCACAATCAAACCCAGCATAGTCCCCTGCTCAGACGGCTCTGGCATCGTACAAGCCGTTGGCAAGGACGTATCGGACTTCAAACCCGGCGACCAAGTCCTAACACATATGTGCCCTCACATCCCCTCCACCCAACCCCCCCTCTTCCCCGAAATAAGTGCAGGTCTCGGACAGAATGAACACGGTACCCTGCGCCAACTCGGGACCTTCCACCACAGCGCCTTAGTCCCCACACCCGCGAATGTTAGCCATGAGGAAGGCTGTACACTCACGTGCTCCGGCCTCACAGCCTACAACGCCCTCTTCGGCCTGCGCGGGAAAGAAGTCAAGGCTGGGGACTGGGTGCTCGTACAAGGCACTGGAGGCGTGAGTATCGCCGCTTTGCAATTCGCTGTAGCGGCTGGTGCCAACGTTGTGGCCACTACTTCTAGTAAGGAGAAAGCTGAGAGACTTAAGGGATTGGGCGCGAGAGAGGTGGTGAATTATCGAACGGACTCATCCTGGGGCATCACCGCTCGCACCTTCACACCAGAGAACTGTGGCTTCGACCTGATAGTCGACATAGCAGGCGACGAGTCCCTCCCACAGTCACTCGCAGCCATTCGCGCAGATGGCGCTGTAGTCGTTGCCGGGATCTTGGGCGACTCTGCTGCAGAGACTGTGCCCATGCTCGGTTGCTTATGGCAAGGCTGTATTGTCCGTGGCCTTTTCTTGGGGGCCCGGCAGCAGTTCCGGGAAATGGTCAAGTTTGTGGAGGAGAAGGATGTTCATCCCATTGTTGACGAGAAGGTGTTTGAGATGAAGGAGGCCCGTCAAGCATTCGAATATCTGGAGCAGAGGAAGCATTTTAGTAAAGTCGTTATTCGAGTATCGTAGAGTATGAAAGTAGACCTGTACGCCATTGTATGGCACCTCGAGGCTCGTTATTATCCTAAGCACTCCTACTAGAGCCTCCAACGCTTCCCGCCGTAGGCTCGACCTTGGCAACATACTCCGGCTCAGCGACCCCAAGCACACCCTTGGCATCGCCCGCCACAATCTGTCCAAACTGCACTTTCCTCGGCCCGACGTCCCGCATCAGCTCATCAATCGTGCCGTTGACGGCTGGTGCATTCATCATAGGCGAGCGGAAGGCATGAGCGACCTCGAACGGTCCCAGACTAACCTTACGGCCCAGCTGCCAGTAGCCCCAGTACACTGGCAGGACCAGCGCTACGCAAACGAAGATCGACACCACCGCACCGATCATGTAGGCGGTATTGGTCTCATAATGCACCTCCAACTTGACCCCCAGAGCCTTGAAGTCTCTCACGCCATCATTCACGAACGACAGACTCGCCGGCTGCTGCGCATAAACCCCCATGCCCGTAGCCAAACTAAACATAATCTGGTTGATCGCAGCCACCACACTCTGCACATTCGCGCCCTCGTCGGGGCTCATGGGATCTGCGTACTTGTACCCACATTGTGACGGAATGGGAGAGTTCATGAGGTACTGCGGACTAGCACCACCCTGATCAATTTGAAATTCTCCTGTCGCACCACCGAAGCTGAAAGAGGATGACGCGCCAAGATACATGCGCAGGCCTTGCTGGATGCCCGCCAGGTAGGATTCCGTGGGCAAGCCTGTGTTGTGTGTTTCGACTGTGGGGATGTACTTTAAGACTCTGAAGCCTTCTTGTTGTTTCTGGGCCTGGGAGAATTTGGGGACGGGGATGCCGGAGAGGGTTGGGTTGCTCCACATTCCATACGTTGTGCCTAGGCTCAGTGCGGCGTCGGTGGTGGATTGCGGGTCGTAGGTTATGAAGGCTGGGTAGGAGATCAAGGCTGGCCGAAGGACGCAAGACTGTTGGTAAAGGGTTCCCGGGCAGATATTGGGGTCGCTCAGGTCGTCGTTAGCTTGGGTGTATGATATGTCCATTGTGAGGTTTGCTCCGATGTTCTCGTCGTAAGGCGAATACTGTTTGTCGAAGCTTATGCTGAAGACTGTCGCAGAGGTGTTGCTAACGCTACTGGAGGAGGTGATGTCCTGTCTGCGTCGGACGGTCGAAGTCTCATTGGACGAGCTGTCGGTGCTGTTGGACGAGAAGTCACTACTCGAGCTGGCGGAAGTGCTGCTGCTCTGCGCCGCTACTGCCGCTTTCACTTGAACGCCATAGTCGACTGCTGTTGAGGTCGGTTCAGAGCAGTCAAATTCGAAGCCTGCAGCATCGATCTCCAGAAAACAGAAACCTTCACAGCCAGGAAAGCCCCAGCCGGGCATAGACAGCGGTGATTGAGCCCAGGCCTTGATATCGTCACTGAAGGCTTTAGTCATGAGTCCAGGCTCAGCGGACCGTCCAGATGTCTGACCTGTGGTTGGGATGGAAATGTTGGCAGAGCCTTGTATTATCATATGGACAGGCTTGTCAGTGCCAACATAGGTAGTCGTGGCTCGCTGCATGAGGACATTGTCGATGATAGTCAGCTTGGTAGTAAGAGCCGCGAGCGCGATGACATTGAAGTATTTGCCAGCGACAGCCACTTCTTTCAGCGAGGTCGAGAAGGACCAGCTTCGATGGAGATCCTGGATAGTGGAGCCCTTGAGTGCTCGTCGCCACCAAGCGATGGCGATGCCGTTGCCTAGAGGTACATTAGTACTCCTTCTGCGCAGCCAAACATATCTAACCTACCGATTGCAATACTGAAGCAAATGCTAGACAAGCTGTTCAATCCCGAAAGGATGACGTTAGGTGCGATCTTCTTCGGCCAGTCCGTTTGTGACTTTTGGTCCGAGAAGTGCAGGACGAGTATGTCGGCCACTGCACACAGTACCACGATCACCAGTGCTCCAAATCCTAGTATAGGGAATCTTGCCTTCCAGCCCGGCTGCCATTCCGGCTGATCGAGATTGCTCTCTTCGTCCGACTCGGCAGCAGTGACTGGGCGGACACTTTCAATAACGTCTTTCTTCTCATTGTGCGGGTCGTATGCTGAGCCCATGGCCGCGACGAGATCAGATTGTGCTATGCTCCAGCAACGAGATACACGAGGGAATGAAGTCCAGTGGCCACAATGCAACAAAACGAGGGAGCTGGCGTTCGTCGATGGACACAGCGTTTAGCATCCCAAGAGGAAGGACTCAGAAATATATGCCCAAGGACCCCATACCTATCAAAGACATCACAAAATCTAGAAGCACACGACAAACACCGTGCTCAGCACTCCCCTCGAAACAAAAACGGCAATTCGACTTTCCCGGTCTACAGCCACAGCACCGATCATTGGTCGGCACGAGTCCATATCATGGTATCGTGGCAGCCACGGTCAACGGCTAGTATAGAAGAAATGTAGGGAAGCGAAACGGTTGTGGATCAAGAGTCTCGGGGCTGCCATAGCGGAAGTGTCGGAGGCACGCTACTAAAAGGTGCACCAGAGAAGAGCAGCTTCTTCTTGTTGTCTTATCGGCAAATCCTTCAGCCTTCCAGCACAGTAACGAGCAGAACCATTCATCACCGGCACTAGACCGAATCCTTAGGGATTGACAGCATGACAGCGAATATCTGCTCGTCCAGATCCGCCGTGTGTAGAGAGGTCGTCGGCAGATAGAACCAGAAATAAACTCCTTGTCTCACAAGCTTCTCGCGTGCTCAGCAAGCCACAATTCCACGCCGAGGAGCTATCGATCGCTGGCCCAAACATCGTTGACTGGAGCCCCCTTTCCAGACACGGTCTAGATCATGCTTCGCTTACAGCAACCAGAGATCCAAGACAAAAAGAAACCTCTGTGATGAGCAGTAATCCTAGGTCTTAAGGCTGCAACTGAACGATTGTAGTGTATTATACGCCAGCGTACAGAGGTAACACGGCGACCATAGATGGTTATGGCAGGAGAAGGACCTCCATGCAATATGAGTAGACAAGCATACAGCCGATGGAAAGATATATGATACATGCCCATATCTTTTACATGCCCGCATTCGCGCATCCATAATACCACAACAATGCTCGCTCAAGCGCGCTCGTTGTCAAGCCCAAGAAATTTCACCCACCATGCAAGCATGTCCGCAATAGCTAGCTACTCGACATCTATGCAGTCCTTGAATGCTTCCCACCATCTTCGCTTTCTTGCTGCACTTTGCACAGGGAATGCGACTAGCTCCACGGACCTAGAATACTATGCTGAAATCTTATCACCAATCTTCTTGTCCTGATTCTCTTCCTTCTTCTGCTCGGCCTTGTCTGCCTTGCTCATCTCCTTGCCGTTGAGAGCAGGAAGGGCCGGAACAGCGACCTGCTGACCGTTCTGCTTAGGACGATCGTGAGCTCCGTTCTTGCGCCAGTCGATGTTGGCACGTGGACCCTGCGGCGTCTGTGGAGGCGGAGACTGGACGCGCTGCTGCTGCGGCTTGGTGACATCCTTCTAAGAATCACCTCCGCTAGCAGCCGGCGCACCAGCACTCGCACCAGCTGCGGCACCTTCAGGCTTACCCGTCCCACCACGCTCGTTGCCGCCGCGCCACTGACCACGACCCCGGAAATCACCGCGGCCACCGCGTCCGCCACGTCCACCACGTCCGCCGCGCCCGGACTCACTGTCACTACCAGTGGTCGCGCCGCCAGCAGATTGATAGCCGCCACGCTCAGGTCCGCCAGTAGCACCGCGCTGGGCAGGTCCTCCGCGGCCAGCGAATCCACCTCGTCCGCGATCATTGAAGCCGCCACGGCCTCCACCAGGCCTGTACTCTGCCAGACGGACACCCTTGAACTTCTCACGTGCATCCTTTGGTGGGCTGCGACGGAGGATATCCCTCATCGTCTCGTGGTCGGCGAAGTGAGCCACCCAACGACCGTTACTGCCTTGCTTGTCGAGTGTCGTGATCTTGGCTGCATCTTCTGGCGAGAAGAGCTGAGCCTTGACTTCGTCAGCAGAAGAGAGGTCGAACAGGCCATTGATGAAGATGGCTTTTGGTGGGTCCTGTTGGACGTTGTTCTGTCTCTGTACCGGAGTCTCAGTCGGCTTTGGCGTCTCTGACGACATACCATTAGTTTGTGGTAGAGTAGCGGTGGGAGCCGTAACGCCGTTAGTGGTGAGGGCAGCGTTAGCAGGCGCGGCCGGAGTGTTCTGTTTCTGAGCAGGTTGGCTTGGTGTTGGCTGGCGCTGTTGCACAGGCTTCGGCTGTGTGGCTTGCTCGAATTGCCTCTGAGCCAATGGTTGCTGAGCATCCTGCTGTGGCTGTTGGCCGATAGCGTTCTGCTGAGCAGCTGGGCCCTGAGGAGGTGGACGGACTTGCTGTTGCGCGAGAGGTGGCTGTTGCTGTGGACCAGTTGGCAGAGCACCGCCAGTGGGAGCCATGGTAGCGTTCGACGGTGCTGATGGGATCGCTTGTGGGCGCTGCTGTTGGGTCTTGCTGCTCCTGTGAGAGAAGTTGAAGCCTTGAGCGCGCATCTCTGTACCAATTCTGCCTTGGTCGATGTCGAGGACGAGCCAGCCAAACGCAGCGTCCGCAAGATTGAAGTTCCACATATTCTTGAAGGCGGACTCGTCTATCTGGCCGTTTGGTGGCCCACCTCCGAATGGGTTGCCGCCGGAAGCAGTGGCCGGCATCTTGCTGACAAGCTCGACTGCGAGCTGAAGGAGTCTGCTCTGAGCATCGTTCTCTGAAACAGCAGGCTCCACCTCGTGCTTGACCGTATCCCAAACGTCGTTGAACTGAGCCTTCGACGCAGACAGCTTTCCACGGTAGTGATCGAGCGATGGGTTGACAGAGAACTCGTTGTATGAGCTGCCATATCGGAAGTGCAGACCAGCTGAGATCGAAAAGTCGGCCTTGAGCATGACGGACAGCTGGTTAAGCAGACCTTCTCTTGCTGGTGAGGCATGGGTGACAAGCAGACGAGTCTCAGTAGGATCGTAGACGCGATTGGCAGTGTCGATGAGCTCGCCAATCTGCAGCAGTGTTGTCCACATGGTGCCCTGACCTCCAGCGATCGTTGTCCGCCCTTCTCCGTTGTCGAACATCTTGTGCATGACCACAGCGCCGCCAAGACCAAGCAGACGCAGCTTCACTCCTCCAATCTCGAGCAATCGCGAATGTGCCTCATCGATCACCTGCAAATTATCGATCTTGTACTCGCCGGAGCGCAGCTTCTCCAATACTGACACATCTTCGCACGCACCCCATACAGTGAAGACGGGCACATCGAGCTTGTAACTCTTGTCAAGGAATCGCGGAAGCTCGGAGAGGGGTAGGCGGTCACGCTGGAAGCGCTCCTTGATTGGTGCTTGGTTGCCAGCGCGGGCGATCTCCGCCTTGGTGGGTTCTGGAAGGAGAGGCGAGTATTGAGCGACGTGCTTCAATGTCCTACGCACGAGTCAGCATGTGTCCCAATCCAGTAAATAATGTGCACACTCACTTCTCTGCTATCCGGTCAAGCGATGAGTCGTCGTAGAAGCCAAAGTCGCCGGTGTGGATGATGTAGTCGGCATTCGCGTTGCGCGCAAGCTCGTTCAGCTGCCTAAGGTTGCCTGTTTCGTGCCTCGTCAGCACGTGATGGTCTCGTGGTTTCTGTACCAGCTCTTCTCACCCCTGACATCAGCTATACAGAGCACGCGAGCATGACCGATCTGCTGCACGCGACCTTGGTTCGGCTCCAAAGGTCGAGCTCCTGGCGCTGGGCCGCTAGCTTGTGAGAGGCCGTTGGGTTGTCCGTACGCCGCTTGGGAGTAGGCGCGAGGCTGCGAAGGCGATTGCTGTGCCATCATCTATGTCAGTCTACGTGGTATGTGTGTGGTATAGAAGCTCTTAATGCTTGACATACAGCCATGTGTGAGAGTTTCCGGGGTACCTTGAACACGGAGTTCGGGGGTTCAGATAGACCTCGTGTGTGGTGGTTGATGGTGGCGAGTGGCGCTGTTGGTATGGAAGCGCTGGTGTATTACGAAGAGGCCAATTACAAGGCTGATGAGGGTGTATGCGCAGTGGCGAAGTGGAGAGTTGCTGATCAAGTCAATTGCGGCCAGAAAGTGAGGAAGTCCAAGTGCGCCTGCCTCGCTCGTTTGAGGCGTCGGCTTTCCGGGAAGCTCCCGTATGATCCGTGCGCCTCCCGTTAGCCGAATGCGACGATATAACAAATGCAAACACACATCATGTTGACCATCCCTTTCACACTGACAAACATCTCGTCTCAGCATACTCTATCCGTCTGGTCCGCGTTCTCACACTCACTCTGACAAACCTGGTGTACTGTCTTGCATATCATATGCACCTGCCAAAGCAGACTCGTCTGATCAAAGGCGTTGGGGTGCTTCGCGTTTCAACAACCCGGAGTACCACGTGGACAGGTCGCTCATTACTATCAAAGCAGCAAGTGTAGAAGCAGCGAGTTCATCCGATCAGATAAGTGTGACTGCGGCAAGGCTCGCTGGACAATCGACAAGAGCTTGCTCATGCCTCAAAGCCCTTTCTTTTACAACACTACATCTACCTCCTATCACATCAGTCTGGTCTCCAGCATCAGCCGGCGTAGGATCTTTAACAGAACCGTTGTGGACTGATCCTCTGAGTTTTCATACAACACTATATACACGGAGTTACGCCGCTTGCTATTCTACTTTCCATATACCGAATTTCGACTTTTATACATCACATTTCTACGAATCTCTTAATCAAGTACGACAGAATGGACGGACGAGACGCAGCAATTTCTTGGAGCAACGTCAAGACTTTGCAGAATCACGGTACGATCTCATTATGATCTACTTCCAATCATACCACTGACCTACCCTACAGAAGCAAATGGCCGCAGCACAGCTGTGGCACAGCAAAGACTGCAGGCTTCCATCTGTAAAGACTGTTCCTTTCATGCTGGAAAAGATTTAGTGGCTGACGCACTGTACAGTAGCGAATCGACTGAAAGACCTGGAGAGATCGCTGGAGTTACAAAGTCTAGTTGTTGATCAGATCTCCTCAATCTCGAAAAGATCTGAGCCGTGGCACCGGCCTTCAGCTCGACACAATCGACTCCTGCAAATACGAAACGTATCATCCGACAGCACTCCAAACACTTCCGTCTCAGCCTTGCCTCCATCAACTGGTCCGACCTCACTCTTCGCACCACATCTTCACGAGCGAACATTTTTCCTGAATCAGGCTAATGCTTACGATATTCTCCATCCACTGGACAGACCTGCTCTGAAACCCAAGAAAAGCATAAGTGCAGACATTTTCCTTGTTCGTAGCACCGCAAGCGAACGTCTCTTCGTCGAGAAGCGCATCCGTATTACAGAGCCCATTGGCCGAGAACAAGTCAACGCCGAGATCCGCGCATTACAACAGATCAAGGACCGTGATTGCCCAGCTTATATCAACAAACTCTTCGAAAGCTTCCTTAGAAAGGACGAAGAATGCTGCAGCCTGATCTTGGAGCACTGCGACGCTGGCACCCTCGAAGACAAGATCAATGTTCTCTCCGAAGCGGGCGTCCCACCCGTAGAAGGGCGGGTCGGGCACGTTATTGCGAGCCTGGCGAAAGCAATACACTTCTGTCACACTGGTATAGATGTAGATGCACCCTCGCAAGCTCGGCCGAACGCCTGGAAGACGCTCTGTCACCTAAACATAAAGCCTGCCAGCATATTCCTGTCCAAAGACAGTGGTGATAGCTAATACCCACGAGTCATCCTAGGTGACTTTGGCTCTGCCACGGCCTACACGGAGATTATCAAAGGTCAAGCACCACCTCTCGTTCAGCACAAGGCTTGCCCAGGTTGGTTTCCAACAGAATGCATATTCCACAGTAGCAGGGGCTGGAGCGGCGACTTCGGCATAAGGACGGACATTTGGCAGATAGGAGGAGCGGCTCAGGTGTTGTGCAGATTATTTCAGGACCCAGATGTGGAGCGAGTGGATTTTGGACGGCCGGCTGGGAAAGGATATAGTAAGGAACTCAATGCTCTTATCGTCTGGTGCATGGGTCGAAAGGCAGCGGAGAGGCCGCATGCTAAGTTGACTGTGGAGTGGGTGAAGGGTCAGATGATGAAACGTGAGATGATACTATAAGGAAGTGCAAAGCATAGTACACCATAGTTGGGAGTTCAAGATAGCAAATGGTGTAGAAGTTGGTGCTGTATCTCGTACTCACACATCGATTTTGCGGTCATGGCGTAAGATATACGTGCTGTTTTGCATCACAATTTGCTTGGGATCATGTCATCCTTTGAGGCACGATCTCCAAGTACGAAACGATTTCTAGTATGCTGAAGGGAGATATAATAGCTAACCTGCCTAACGGTCTCTCGGGATGATATGACCTCTCAAAGGTGCTCCCAGCGAAACAAATGATAAAATGAAGTACCCGAAGGAAGATATGACAGCTGTTTCATCCCGGGATCAGCTCGGAATACTCTTGCCCTTGCAGAGATACTTGCACATCACGACAAGAATGCTAATCTGCCGAGATGGTTCACAAGCTTGGGAGATTTGTGTCTCATTCGCGTGGAAATGTCTCGAGAGGCTCATGCTGTCGTGACAGCGAGATCGAGACCTGGCAGTGGTGTTATTGATGTGCTACTGGTGAATACAGAGACTCATCTTGACAACTCGTCAATTGCGCACGTATCGACCACTGCCAAACCTACTGATCAGTGCCCGTGGCCTCTTCCTAGCGGTCTGTTCGTTTTCCTCGACATCATGAGACGTACTTGCTCCTGGGAGTCTTCGCTGGTCGACATGTTGTCTCGTCTCCTTTCGGTGCTCTCAGCAACAAGATGAGTTTGACGTTCTGCTTCGATTCTCCAGACAGGGGATACAGAAGTGTACTGCCATGGATACACTTTGTGATTATGGCCTTGGGTCTAAGTCCTTTGATGGGATATTTGCAGGTTCTCCTGTGGTCCTCCAGGGTAGATATTAGAGATGACCCTACAGAGAAGCGATAAGGTACTGGACCGGCTTGTCTGACGTTCAGAGTCTACCGACGTCCAGAGTCCACTGACCTTTGGAATACCTCTCTGGTTCCAGGATAAAGGACGACAGACGATATCGAATGCGAAAGATACTAGGTAATGAGAAAAGGACTCGACGGAAAGGATGTAATGACCAAACCTCCAGGACTTCGCAGCAAGTCGCAGCGATTGTGCGGCGTGGTGGGAGAATCCCGTTTTCGTTATCTGCTGATGTTTCCACCGTGCGTTTGGCAGCAGGTACAGAGCGTGGCGCCATGTGCTGCGTGGTCGATATCAGACATGATCGAAGAGTCTGTCTTGCCGTAGTGCCAAGGCTCGTTGCCACGGGCGTATCAGCAATGCAGTCAAGCTAAAACCCCATATCATCGACGTCAGACGCACACGGTGGTTGATGAGACATGACCGTTAGCCATCTTTGACCGTTGCGCCTGCCATGCGAATTATGTCTCGTCGTCGTTGCGCTTGTGTTCAGATATCGGAGGTTAGTCGCGTAGTCATCTAGCGCGAGAAGAGGCAGGAAGTGCACTTGTCGCTCAGCGGAAGCTCAAGCGCGGCTGCTTTGGCGCTAGCGGAGCAACCAGCAATACACACAGTAAACAACCCAACCACCACCTCTTCCACCACCACAAGCCATATTCGAGCTATCCACTCCACGCTCACTCCATTTGTGTCTCAGGAGCCCATACTAACTGTCAGATCCACCACCAATGGCGCCTGTCTGCCTGATTTGAGCGCGTAGACGTCGCGTGCTTTCCCCACTGCATCTCGACCTCGCCGACACTTCACCACGACACTGCATCTTTATGCATGGCAGCAGTGTCCATACAACACCATATCCCGCACGACCGAGACATGGCGAGCAGACGGGCACCACTGGCTAATGTGCCCAACGCTGTCAACTCGCCTTTCCGCAATGTTGCTACCACCAATGGCAAGCGCACACGAGCACAACTGGGAGATGCTGTGCAAGGACAGCCACCTGCCAAGAAGCAGGCTATAGAGCTACCGGGTGGCGATGAGGAGAATAGAGATCCGGCCAGGCGAGCTGGAGTGTCACTGTCAGCCCAAGAGAAGCTCGAGGAGCCCTTCATGAAGCGTAGCAATGCTGTGCCAACCGCTTTTGAGAAGAAGCTGGCTGCTGCACGTGAGCGAAAGCCCACCATTCAGCAATCTGCACAGTCTAAGGAGCGAATGCAGAAGGCTGCAGCTGGCGATAATCTGGAGTCTGTTCGACAATGGCAGAGGCACTACCGGCGGCAGTTCCCGTCATTCGTGCTGTATTTTGATGGCGTGTCAGACGATATACGCCAGAAGACCGTACGCCAGATACAGTCCTTGGGAGCGCGAGAAGAGAAGTTCTTCTCGAAGCAAGTGACACACGTTATCACGACGCGTTCAGTACCGTCCGATCTTGCGTCTACGAGCCCGGACGAGGACCCAAAGTATAACGCCAGTCAGCAAAAGACAGCACAGCCTACCCCGTCTGCCAACGACCAGCGAAGGACCACGTCTATACTTGATGCGCACTTGCAAAGACGGACACAGAGCACTACCAACGTCACCCAAGACATTGACCCTCGCAAAGTTCAGACTCATGGGGCCGACATCTTGACTCGTGCCCGACAGCTCGGTATCAAGATATGGGCACTAGAGAAGTTACAGCGTATGCTCAATACTATACTGGAAACCGATGCTGGAGGCGGATTAGTCTCGCATAGCACGCGGACTAATACGTCAACCTCACGCACATCCACAAAGACAGCCACCAACGCTGATCTTGAGCAGCTGCTCCGTAACGAGAAGGTCAATGGCCCCGCCGACCGTGACATGACCGTCGCCGCTCAGGATATGTGTGTATTCTCTGGCTTCTACCTCTATGTCCACGACATGGACGAGAAGACCAAGCCGGTCATGGTGCGAGACTACCCAAAAGTTTCAGCCAAGGAGGAGGGCAAGTGGCCACAGTTCCGTCTGTCAGGTCCAGGCCGTTGTCCATTCGTGGAAGATCCAGCGCATGCGAAAAGAGTGCAGCAGCAAAACGCTGCCAAGGCACAAGATGAGCTCGCATTCGCACAGCGCAAGACTCGTGCAGCTTCAGCCCAGGAAGCTGTCTCTGCACGAGCTGTGCCACCGACAAGAGCTTTGACAGAGCGTCAAGCCAACCTCAGACGCTCACCAAGAAAGCAGGATAATGCAACGGGCATGTCTAAGCCTCTCGATCCACCGAAAGGTGTACCAGGCAGCCGACAGTCCTCCAACGAAGGTATGCCAGCTCTCTTCGGCAGTGCCCAGCAAAGTCTCCGTGGTCTACCGCGCATGATTGGTGGTGAGCCTGTCGCCTCGGGAGTTCAGCCCTCGAACGTCACGTCCGCCATTCGATCACAGTATATCTCCTCAGCAGCAATCTCCTCGACCGCACCTGGTGCCAACTACCGCGTTGGTGACAGCAAAGAAGTCTCAGCACTAAAGCGGAAAGTGCTTGAGCGTGGTGCAAGTGTGACGTCGAACCATAGCATGCCGTCGTCACACATGAACGACATCCGCGCTGCTCTCAACCACGATACCGAGCCGCCACCTCGCGCTGCGAAGAGGAAGGCGCAGGAGACTTTAGGTGTAGTTCCGGAGGACGACGAGACTGGCACGGCAACTAGACCAGCGAAGCAAAGGAAGGCTACTGCGCCTGCAAAGAAAAAGCCCGTGGAGAGAGATCCGAAGCCAGGTTATTGTGAGAACTGCCGCGATAAGTTCGAGGACTTTGATGAGGTATGTCTATTCGTTTCCATGATGGCTTGTTCGAGCGTGACTGACCAAGATATAGCATATCGTCTCCCGCAAACATCGCAAGTTCGCTCTCACGCAAGACAACTGGAAAGAGCTGGATGTGTTGCTCTCACAGCTTAAGCGACCTCATAAGCCCGCCACGCCTGCGTAGGGCCGGCTGTACCTCACCGCTTTGCCACGCATATCTGAGTCAAAGCCAACGATCACACACTTCTCTATGGCCGTGGTATAGCCACTTTGTCCACCATGACAAACCTCGACCACCGAAGCATCTTTATAGTATACTGTCAGGACCGATGATCGTATTTTAGCGACCTCTAGCGTTCCGCCCTCGCATCAACACGATACCTCTAGACGCATATCAAGAGCATGAATGGCCTTCTGTCGTAGGCCAACCATTTGAGGTTGTCACAAGCTCTTCTTCGGCATCCTTTCTTGGACTTTGTGGTGTGGCATGGCATGGACGGGAGGGAGCTTTAGCGCTTTCGAGCTTGCTCTAACGAGAGTTGGTCCGCATGTAATGAATGGCTGAAGCATGATGTAGGACGGTATTCTGTAGGGTAAATATATCTTGTCAAGAATGCAGATCGGTTAGTCAGAGGACTGATTTGGTGGCTGTAGTAGCTGAGAGGCGATACAATTATGACAATCAGGAAGTTCATCATCTCCATCATTTAGCTCGAGTGGCTGAGTTTCTGCTATGCTGTCCGTCCATTCGTATCTTTGCTCCAACATTCGCCTGGGACCGTGGTGAGCGCACGATGCATGGCGAATTATACAACACGTAATCGAAAGAACAGGTTCCTGAGCCAGAATTGGTGTGATGCAGATATATAGCGCCATGATGCATTCTACCCTCGAAAATACCAGGAACGAACTCAGACATTCCTTTGCAGGGTTACGGAGGGTCGATGGATGGAGATGTGCATAGTCGTCGCCAATCGTTATGCAGGATATGAAATGCTCCTGGACAGCCAAGCAGGACGAAGATCAGTCTGGCAGAAGCACCACGGGGGCTTCTCCAGATCTATCATGGTCTGCCAGCAAACCTGTTTGTATCATGTTGAGCCGGAAAGTAAAATCAGGAGCAAGGTGGTTGGAAGCCAAACCAGCTCCATACTCACCAGCACTCTCTCTGCTCGCATGCTTGCCCTCAAGCGTAGAGCATCGAGTAGAAAACAACCCCACAATGCCCGATCATAGCTCCCACCCTAACCCAATCAGTCAGCACCAACCTCTCCACCGCCCCCCTCTCCCCAGTCCTCTGAATCCGTCTCTGCAGCGGGATCTGCACAGTGAAAGAACTAATCCACGAGACGGCAAGGAACGCCATACAAACTCTGAACCACGTCTCTCCGGTCGTCCAGGCCAAGTAAGCACACAGAGCAGTCATGATGGTTTTGGGGATGACGAAGACATAGAGTGCTGAGAGGCCGGTCGGTGTTTGGATTCTGCGGCGTTCGCGGGGAGTGGAGATTAGGGTCCAGGCGTGGAAGAGGCAGAAGTGTTCCATTAGGCCGCCCGCAAGGCAGTAGGCTGAGAGATGGGAGAGGAGGGTGGTGAGGGCCGTGGTTGTGGATGTCATTGCTGTGGAGTTTTGGGGTGGTGATATTGCTGGATAGATCCCTGCTAGGATTCTGGCTGATGGTTGTACTGATGAAGGTGAGCATTCACAGTCAAGTACATATATCTTATCGACTCGAACGGCGTCGACTTAGAGTTCCGGAAGGTAGACACCACCGTCGATGGCTTAAGCATGTGGGAGCTGAAGCATGGGGACGGAGGCGGAACCACGGAGTGAATAGCGCCGCCGGCTTGGCGAATGATTGGAGCGGATCGGTTCCACATGCCTCGTGCTTTCGTACGGCAGCCTGGCCTCGATGCACCACCTTAGCCACTCCACTCACCTCCCCATGTGGGTGAGAGTGACAGTGCATGTCATGGTCTATCTTTGTTCGTGCAGTGAAGAGATGCAAGGAGGTGGAGGTGGAGTTGCGAACTTCTGCTCCCTCCGCGTTGAGACATGCTTCGGCCCCGCATAACGATCGACGAACAAGGTTGGAGCTAGCATGAGCTTCCGACGACCTCTTTCACCACCACGACATCCAGCAGTGTGAGCATCTCCAATCCAAAACATGGACGTAGCCTACGATCACGTGCAGGAAGAGACGTACTCGCCTTCGGAAGAACGTTCCAGCAACTCCACCACGCAACCATCCTCCAGCGATGCCAACAATAGTAATCAGAGCTTAAACGCCGACTTCCAGCAAGCCTTCCAAGCCGTCAGCACCTCACCTTGGGGTTCCCGCCTCGGCGGCTGGTTCACGCAAGCTCGAAAGCAAGGAGAGACATTTGTGGCTGATTTGCAAAGAGAGGCGCAGGATGCGGGGCGGGATGCGCAGCAAAGCTGGACGAGTCTGAGGGAGCAGGTGGTGCAGCGGACGCGGGGACTGAGTTTGGGGGCGGAGGATGGGGTGGTGGGTGCTGTGCCGGGGGAGGAAGCTGTGCCAGGGGCGGAGAGCCAAGAATTGGAGGGTGGTGATCGGGAGCTAGGGGACGTGGAGAGGCCGGAGAGTCTGCCAGCGGATATCGTGAAAGAGGCCGGGACACTCGTGGCTTCTCTACGGAGTACGGCTGCTGCTAAACTCAAGGATCTGCAGAAAGCTGAAGATGCCGCGGATGAGGCGCTGTTGAAATTTGGCACAAACGTCCGCAACTTCCTCCGCGATGCTGTGGTCATCACTGCTCCCACCGACGCCGATAGCAGTAAGCCCAAAGGCACAGATGGCTCGGGCAACGAAGTGCTATTTGAAACGTCCGAGCCCGGAACGGGAAAGAAGGTCTTCCATACTTCGCGTCTAGACGCACAACTTCACGCCATCCACACGACCGCATCATCCTTCACCGACGATCCCACTGGTCCACAATGGGAATCCTGGCAGAATGACTTCGACATCGGCGCCAAGACAGAAGATATCGCGCGAGATCTGGAGAAGTATGAGGAATTGCGACGGGCGATGGAGAAGTTGGTGCCGGAGAAGGTGGAGTATAGGCAGTTTTGGCTACGATATTACTTTTTGAGGAAGGCTATTGAGGAGGATGAGAAGAGGCGGAAGGAGATATTGAAGGGTATGTACAGCATAGTGATTTGTTGACTTAAATGCTAACATGATTGTCAGGTGCCGCCTCAGGCCCAGCAACCGAAGACCTAGCCTGGGACGACGAAGACGATGATGACGACCGAGCGACCGCCGAGGACACAACAGCCTTAACACCTAAACGTGAAACCACAGCAGGTATATCGTCTCAACACCCCAACTCCTCAACAACTACTCTCAATGCTCACGCTCCATCAACACAATCTACTCCTGTCGCCGGCGATCTCCTCAAACCACAAGAGGCTAGACGAAGCACGGAAGACGATAAGAGTGTGGCGGGTTCCGATGCAAGTTATGATATTGTTTCTGGTGCTACGAGTCGGGCTGCGGGGAGTCCGAGGGAGGAGAAGAAGAGGGACGGGGAGGAGGAAAGCGAGGAGGATGATTGGGAGTGATGTGGGTTTGGGTCAATGAGGTGGGAAGGGGTCGGTGGTTTTGGGTATGGCGCTGGGATTTATGATGTTGAGCGGGATTACGGGAGTCGGACTGGTTGGTGTATACGGTAATGCTCGCTTTTCCAAGCGCACGCTGGGCGTCTTTGCTCGTGTCATTATAAGAGGTTTGAGCATTCATGAATTGACTATGATATAGACTCCTTTCCGACCGTCGTCGCTACATAAAGTAGCTGCGTACAATACCACGGCTGAGTGCAAAGCATCAGGTAGCTCAAGTTTCTGCTCCGAGCTGCCCTACCATTCACTCGTCTGCTGCGTCATGCTTCGAGCATTCACTTATAGCAACGCCGAGGCGCGGCTACTCTTCGGCCTGTGCCGTGACACGCACTTCTGATGGAACCTATGCTCCTTGCAGAGTTCACAGGCCATCATCCGGAAGATGGCGACGGGAGTAGTACCACCTGTGCGGATATGAACGAAGCAATAAGAGCTCATTGTGTTCGACCGGCGCCAAGGATCCATAAGTGGCTGGATTGTATGGAACCTTTCGATAGAATGGGTCTCGATAGTGTCCGGACGATCGTACCACCACCAGTGATTGATGAAGGCGCACTACAGGATATCCCGGAAGTTGAGATAGATCCTTGGGATAGTACAAGTTGCCAGGAGCGTCTTACTGACAGGCAGGAGAGGATTCGTCATTGGCAGGGAGTGACGGGTCATCGATAGTATAGCTTGAAGAAAATAACTGTCTGAATCAGTCGCCTTTCTCAATTTAGCGCAGTATCCTTCCAGGCCAATGACCTTAATCCTCCACATAAGAAGACTTGAACCGCATCACGGCATGGATAGCCAGGACATCACTTCCACCCCAGCATTTCGCACTGCAATGCAGCGAACCACGCATCCTCAGTTTCACACCACTTCCCAATAGCCTCCAGAGTCTCCTCAATCGCCTCCTTCGTCATTCCAGCATCAAGCCAGCTCTGTCTGAACGCATCACCTTCCTTCAGCTGCCCTGCTGCTCGCCACGCAAGCCACTTCCTCTTCTCTGGCCCAGAATGCACCATTGTGCCCGCACCAAGCACAACTTTGCCGCCATCAACATTGAATCCTGCCCGTCGGAATAAGGATAGCATATTCTTACCGGGCACTTCTGAAGGCGAGACACCTTTGTAGATGACTTTGTTCATGTTGCCGACCCACAGTCGATCAAGATCAAGGTGAGCTGGGTAGAAGTGCTGGAAGGCTGCATCTCGGCAGGCTACGATACCTCCTGGTCTGACAACGCGCCGCATCTCGGTGATCGCAGCGAGAGGCTGGTCAGGTGGGACCATGTGACCGATGACTTGAGAGCTGAAGACAATGTCGAAAGTGTTGTCTTCATATGGAAGTCCCTTGAGGATGTCTCCTTCGCCAAAGCCAAGAGAGCCTGGTCCATGTGCCGGTGTGCCAGCATCAGTCGCTACATCTCTGGCCTTCTGGAGAACAGCTGCCGAGATGTCAAGGCCAATGACACTGCCCTGAGGTACATAACTGACGAAGCCTGCTGTGATGGTCCCAGGGCCACAGCCAACATCCAGGATCTTGTCTGTTGGTTTGATGTGTGGGAGCAGGAAAGCGGCATCGGTCTCTGCTGTACGGCGTTGATGGGTGGCTGTCGTACAATCTGAGTGACCTTGAGTGTAGTTTGACATGATACCGTACTTTTTGTAAGCGAAAACCGAATCATTGCATGGAGTATGTATATTCCATGCCAAAGTCCGCTAAGGCCGAAAGGGGGGCTCCGTCACCGGCGTGGGAGAGCGTCAATGCCGAGCTGGTCGGAAGGAAAGAGGTAGTCCACGGACAGCACGCTGCGATGAAGTAGAAATTTCCTGGGCGTGCCAAAGTAGCGACATACGACCGTGAGATCAGCGAGCAGTCGAGATGGTAGCAGCTCGCTCTCGGGTCTTCAGGCAGGACTCCGGCCATGCTTGCCCACCTTATTACTGCACATCACCGAGCGTTTTTTGGACTCCCGACGCGTGCGATGAGGAACGGTTTATCATGTCAAGGTATAGCTATTGCTGTCGGGTAGGGGTTCGGGATATTTAGTCGTGAGGTCGGAATAAAGAAAAGCCAAGGTTCGCGCCAGCAGGCGAAAGGGTAAATCTCGACCGTACATACTCGAGAGACTCCTTCGCCTCGAAGATACCACTTTCCATCCGCATACACGCGTATTATAGCATATTCTCCACATATGACAAGGGGATTAGATGTATGGAAGGGTAATGCAGAACCGAGCGCGAGAGAGCGATTGCGGGAAACACGAGATTCTTGTTTTACGTATTTTCGGCCGCTGAGGTGAGCACCAGCTATTCGCCAACACTGCACCATCTGCACCCTTGTTGTCCTGTTCATCTTCTTCAGACCATGATAGTAGTGAACGCGCAAGTGCTACCATCAATTTCTATCACTTCGAGCCCATAGCCCATAGAGTGCTTTGGCGATCGCGCTTCTCGTTTCCCGAGGCAGCATGGCCAAATCTGCTGCGGCCACGACTGCGCTTATTTCAACACCATTCGAAAAATGTTAGAATTCATCACAAGCCTCGGTCCCGTCGCAGTACGCCTCTTGTCAACCTGGAAGATGGCGGTTGCTAATCTGGTCCATGCGTGATCATGATCATGATCATTCACCACTGCGACGAAGAGCAGAAGCGTCAAGACTATCTCATATCGGCAAGACCAGCAGTGACGACTTCGTTGCCTTACTATGGCAGCACATCGATTGTCACATATGTGTTCATCATCAGCAACAATAGCTTGCTGACCTCTGACCATCCATGAGACCACTGGGAGAAATTTCAAAGTCTGTACTGAGCATGAAGCTGGTCAAGACATCGACAGCGTCTCGTCAGACTACTGGAGATCTTTTTGCAGCCTTTTTGACTTTAGCTTGTCCGGAGCAAAGGATTCTTTCATTGTCGCCAGCCATACATGCACGTTCCGAAGATGCTGTACGGCCGCATGGTCTAGCAATACCGCCACGAATCAGCGTGAACTTGAGAAGTGGTATCTTGAGCCGAGAAGCATGGTGATGAGAGGCTGCTGCCATGCTCTCCCACCTTTTCCCCCGTCGCCAAGCTGTCGACTTGGCATCCCCGCGCTCACCAGACAGATTCAAGGGTCTAAACGTGGGAGGAATGGGGAGCGCATTAGGGCGAACATCAAAGCTCGCATCGGCAAAGGGCTGCAGCCTGTCAGCGGACTCAAGGAGGGTTACACCTACACCAGAATGGTCCACTGGCGGAGAGTATGTGAAACGCTCAGGGTAGCTGCCATACTGAATGCCAAGAAAGCGGAACCATAGTTTATCACGGTAGCCGGTGTAGACAGCATTACCAGAAGGTACGGATGTCTGAAATTTGGCACTGGTATCTGTGATGTTGATGCCTGAGAGAGCAGCGCTCTGCGTACATAGTGCTGGAAGCTTGGAATTGCAATCGACTGAGCTTGTCTTGCTCTTCGGCGAGATGGCTTGGTAGCCGCCTTTTCCAGCTTGACCTGCAATGAAGTAGAGTTGGTAATGCTGCCACAGGCCAATCTGCCATGTACCATGGTTTCCGGGTCCATATGGTGGGTTAGGATGATGCCACTGATCGCGCGTCTCCACACCAGGCTGATATGTTAGATATGCCAGGAAGTCATTCGCACTGAGATCGGAAGGAGGCGTCCACAGGGATTCGCCGATGGCAGAGCAGGAGCTGGCTGCTTGGCTTTGTGTTTGTGGAGTGTCGAGTACAACCACCGCTCCTGTGCGGCTGCTCTCATTGCCTATGGCATGGTGTTAGGCTTGGCTGTCTTACTGTAAGGTGACAGGCGTGTACCGTATAGGTCGTTGTGCAGCAAGATTTTGCAAGCCAGAGTTGACGGACTGAGCACTGGGTGCTGCGCTGGCGATATACAAAAGGTTCAAGGCCACGATGACTTTCGTGCTTAGACCAGACATGACTGATATGTTGATCTGGGCTCAGTCCTTGGCGGCTGGTTCAAGCAGCTGCAAGGCTGTTGAGGTAGCACATTTATAGCTTTGTCAGACCAAAAGATAGAGCGGGGAAAGTGGAGTGAAGTGTAGAGGAGATAGAACTACGGCATTGAACTTGGTGACAGGCGCCATGCTTCTCGGGTCGGACGGCCAGTGGTGCAGTTCTTGCTGCTCTTTAGCCGTGAAGGATCGTGGCCTACCTTGACGAGCCCGCTTCAGTACGAGTGGACCCTTCTGATAGAGCATGCTAGAAGTAGTGACCCCATGTGCGCTATCACACCAGATATCAAAGCCAGTATGTGCTCACGGCTTTGGGCATATTGAGGGTACAGAGCGAGAGGGAGTCGAATTTGAGGAGTTGAGTTCAATCTAGATGACGTGCGCCAAGAACCAGTGCTCCATTGTCATCTCCTTTGCCTGGGGATGATGCGGAGGTGATCAGATATGTCCATGAGTTGATGAAATACATACACATATGTCATTCGGGACAATGAGGCCTTTCCAGGAGCGTCGTGAAGGCTTGTGCCTCTGCGTGAAGGACTGCCTAAACGCCTCGTGATCTCACACCTAACTAATCATCTCCTCCCATCTTTGCTCACCTGCACTTCCTGACCACCCACCGAACTCTAGAACCTACAACGACGCAAGCACAGCAGTGTAAGCCGCCTTAGGCTTATAGCTACCATCAAAGAGATCAGGGCTAGAGCTCGATCGCCAGCTGTCACGGTCGCTGACCCCCCAACTGGTAATACCAACGCAGCTCTTGACAGCCAGGCAGGCCTTGGACACGGCGACATAATCACTGCTTGAAGCGCCTTGGATATCTAACTCAGTGATAGCGACTTCTGGGACAACGGCAGCAAGAGCAGTCAAAGCAGCCTGAACGCCGGAAGCTTGACCGGGGTTCAGATGAGTCTGGGAGCCGATGCCGTCGATGGGCACACCAGCGGCACGCCACTTCTTGACGTACTTGATCATGCCCTGTGTCTTGGCGTAGGAGGCAGAGTCGAGGTTGTAGTCGTTAATGTAGAGCTTGGCGTTGGGGTCGGCCTTCTTGGCTGCCTCGAAGGCAATGCGGACGAAGTCCTCGCCGAGGACCTTGGAGAAGACATCGGAGCGGAGCGTCCCGTCCTCATTTAAGCATTCATTCACGACGTCCCAGGCGTAGACCTTGCCCTTGAAGTGGCCGGCTACGTTGGCGATGTGGTTCTGGAGGACGGATGTGAGGGTGGCCTGGGTGGTGTTTCAGCTACACCAAGTTCTTCTGATAATGTGGAGGTCGACGGCTTACCTTATCAGTGATGGAAGATACCCACGAAGGCAGCTGGCTGTGCCACAGCAAATTGTGGCCACGGATGAGCTTGCCATTGGATCTGGAAACAGGTCAGATGTTGTTTGCGCCCCGTGGAAATATCAATACTCACGTTGCGAAGTTGGTGAATGTGTCGGCGTTGCCAAAGTTGAATTTCCCACGGGATGGCTCAGTTGCGTCCCTAGGAATATCGTCAGCAGAAGCCAAAGCAGTTCACCGACGACTTCATCTTACCATTTCATGGAGTTCTCCGGAGTCAATTGACCTTCGACAACACGTCAGCTCCAGCTCGACCCACTGATCTCGTCAGTACTTGAATCCTCACCAAAGTCAGCCTTTAACACAGCAACATTGGCCGAGTTGGAGATGGTGCCTGGGTCGGCGATGTCTGTTCGGACGATAGTCAGCACACACTACTACCGTCGTACAGACTTTTGATCACTCACTGCCCCAGTACTTCTTTCCCTTAGCCTTGTAAGCGGCGTCCAAAGAGTTCGTGGTCGCACGCTCCGAAAGCTCAACAGGAGCAGCGAAAGCAGCAGAAGCCGACAGAACGGCGAGAAGGGTGGAGTAGACGTGCATCTTGACGATGGAATATGGTAAGGAAGTGAAAGAACGTGGTGATCTCAAGCCAGTTGAAGATGTGAAGCGATAGATCTGGGAGTAGCAGAAGAGAAGAACGGAAGTGTCAATGGTATTATAACATACTTCCTCAGATGATGCTCGATAGCCTACCATGGTGGTCTGTCCCGAGCCTAGAGTGAAGCGGTAGGCAATGCCGATGCCTACTCGAACTACTGGAGATCACATCATGTCGTGCCAGGACCACGAGACGTCTGGTTCATACATAGCGTGTACGACCATCGGAGACTGCCAAGAAGTATAGATGAAGTCGCAAATGGAGTCGTCCGCCAAGAAAGATGGCCTAAGCAGGGACAGTAAAGAGTAGCCTTCTATTGTGCAACTCCATAAGGTTCTGGCCCCTCGTGATGGTGTCGGGTAGTTTGCGTGTCTCAAGTTGAAAGATCTTCCGAGATATGTTAAGCTTAGCGCTGTTTCAAGCCATGTAACAAGATCCTTTCGCCTGCAAGCTAGCCTACTTGGCGAGTCTTTAGCCGAGCAACGGAGATGGTAGACGGAGATATTCGCAGTCGTGGAGAATTTATTGACCGGAGTCGATCACGAGACCGCCTACAATAAATTGATAGCGGAAGAGTGCAAAGTCCGACTTCGTCTCGATGGAAGACGATGCGATCCCACTGGTCGCGATGGAGGGCAGTGGGACGGGTATCACGCCAGAGCTATAGCTGACATTGTGAGACAGGAGAGATGTAGTGAGAGTCGTTGAGATGGCACGACAATGTATAGACAACACACGAGGTATCTTACCACACGTGTCACCGGCGGCCACCTCCGAGCCAATGACAAAGGCCTCATGATGTGTAGAGTCCTCCTTCTACCCTCCTTCAACAGACAGGAATATACTTTGACATGACTTGGCCTACATACAAGACCCATATCGGCAGAGCTGTCTGACACGATCTCGGTGAGTCTAACAAGTCAGTGACCCAGACGCTTCTGGAGGCGACATTCTATAATGTCGTTAAGTACAGATGGCTCCCCAGATCTATCATATATATCCCAATCCTCACGTAGACAAGGTCCATGATTGCTACTCTACTCCTTCTCCCCAAGAACCTCCCTCACAGCCTCAATAACCTTACCATGCACATCCTTGGGCGCAGCAACGACACCCTTGTTCTCCTTCAACGTCCTACCTAGCCTAAAATTAAGCCTGTTGCCATCCATATCCGTGACCTGACCTCCAGCTTCACGCACAATCAGGTCACCAGCCGCATGATCCCAGATCTTCTCCACATAGTCCTTGCGCACGGGGAGGCGGAGATACAGATCTCCTGCTCCTCGAGCAATAGAACCGTATTTGGCCTGGCTGTCCATTCGGACGGAGGGTTTGGTGATGCCTAGTTTTGATGCGATGGCTGCGGCGTCGCCTTGACTGCTATGGCCCGCCTCTACGCTCTCGCAGAACGTGGCTTCCGAGATATTGGTGAGAGGCTTCATCTTGATGTCATGACTCTCCGCCAATCCGCTTTTGCTCAAAGCACGACTCTGCGCACCCTTCCCCTGCACAGCAGAGAAAAGCACGCCGAATTTGCCTTCCTCGTCGCTCGCATCCGCACCAATACCCTCCTTGAGTGGCTCCGAGTCCGAGACCGGTAGATTCGGACAACCCAGCACTCCCACCTTGACATCCCCATCCACCATCAGAGCAAGACATACAGCGTACTGTCCTCCTCGTAAGAAACCCTTCGTCCCGTCGATTGGATCAATAGCCCATATCCTGCCTTTAGCACCGCCTTGACTTGCGCCTTTGTCGATGATGTCAAGCATGGACTCTGCACTCTTCACCTCTCCACCAAGCACTTTCTCTGCCGAAGAGTCGGAGAGTTTGGCTTTTTGCACGAGATCCCATACTGTTTCGCGTAGTTGGCCGTTCTCACGTAGATCTTTCGCTTCCTCTTCTGCTACTATCTCGTCGTCGGGGAAGTTGAGTTGGAGAGCGGCGATTATTAATGCCTGGGCGCCAAAGTCTCCAATGGTGACAGGCGAGGCGTCGGATTTATTCAAGGTGCCTTTTGTGTGGGAGTGGAAGACGGATTTGGTGAGGAGTGTTGCTCGTTGCACGGCGAGTAATGCGACGTTGAGTTCGTGGTCGTAAGTATTGGTTGTGGCCATGCTAACGTTGGTGGTGGTGGTGGTGGTGGTGGTGGTGGAGGAGTGTCGGGTGAGTGCTGCGGGGATGATTTGGGCGGAGAAGAGACGGAGGCGGGGGAGGAGGGAGGGGAGGAGACTGATGGCCAGGATGGATAAGGATACTAGAAAGACTGTCAAGGTGATGGGTTGTCTCCAGACCGGCATTGAGATTGCTGTGGTGAATTGCTAAGTTCGGTCTGGAATTTGGAGAATTGTTTAGCTGTGGTTCCTCTTTGGGTGCTGTGCCTCGAGCTTGTCATTGGAAGCAGGGCGCAGAGCAAGAAAGTGCTCATCACCACCACTCTGTCTTTCCATAATGGAAGTGTCTCGCCGCAACCCTGCGTTTGGCTGGCGGAGAATCGTGCAGCCCATGATATGATCAGTGAAAATGATATGATCAGTGAAAATGATATGATCAGTGAAAATGATATGATCAGTGAAAATGGACGGCGGCCAAATGAATGCCATCTGGCCATAAGCATTTCAATAGTCACACAAGCATATGCGACTGTGCAAAGCCATCCCCAGTCAAGCAGCGATATCGACCTCTAAGCTCGCTTACAGAAATGGACACGACGGTCGCTGCAACAAAACCCTCTCAATCGACGCATCTAAACATCCCGTGAAACCTATCCCACTTCTTCAACAGGAAAGCAACATCATCACTCCCCACCACGAGCAGATCCAAAAGCTCAGGTCCGTGCTCACGCCACTCTACCTTATCTACCTCACTTTGCTACCCAAAATGCAGCTCAAGCTCCTGCTCCCAGCTCTCCTCAGCATCGTAGCTTACAGCACCTGAGTCACAGCAGCTAGGCCTCTCCTCTTCGAACGACATGACGCAGCAGCGACCGCCATCCTCGTCGAGCCCGAGGATGAAGGATGTCCAGGCCCATGACGATCATACCACGTCTTTGGCTGCTAGGGAGGCCATGCAGGCGCCTGCATGCTGGGAGGGTCCAGGGGATATAGCTGTAGCGCCTATGGGGTTTTGCGGTGCGACTCTAATTTTCAGGACTGCAAGGACAAGTGATGGAGATGTTGCCCGTGCGTTGCTAGCCCCCCTCAGTTTCGACTCATTGTCCTTCGAAAGCTGAGTTTGGAGAGTAGCAATCAATGCCTCAACTTCGACTCCAAGGTATCACGTCCAGAGTGAAGGCGAGCCTTACGAGATTTTCGGCGTCGATGCAATCTGGCGTAATCAGTATCTGGTCCTGACTCGGATTGGTACGGCATGAGGAAGCGGTTCGATTCTGACAGCAACGCTATGATTGTGAAGGTGATTGAGCATATGAAGAAGAGAGTCTACACCGTCATCAGTATGAACGCTACGCCGCATCTGTTGGTCGTGATCGTTCCTTGTGAGAAGAAGCAGGCGGATTTTCCGGAGGGGATGTGGGATGAGCCTGAGGGGTTGTAGTGACTGTCATTGCTTTCGATAGGGGTAGCGATGGCGGTATAGTTCTTTCGTACTCCAGTTTCCCTCTTCAACAGTCAAGACCGACTCTGTGTTAGCTGGGCTCAGGCACCATGAACTGGAATAATATCTTCATGTGGTCCTTCCTGCTCAGCGGGCAGAGCTAATTGCGATTCGAGGGTTTCAAGTAGCCATCGTGCGTGCAGCTAAACAGGTCAGCAGGTAGAGTGGAGTTCGTCATTCGAAGCGGGATGTATGCTCAAGATTGAAGGGCTATACATTTGCCAGGAAGGCTGGCGTAATACATTCAGCCATAGGCCGCGAAGCATAGAGGATCCCGTGAATACTACTGAGCTTTCTACGTTGACATGTGTTTGTCAGATAGTTCTTGACTCCTAGGTCATCTACTCTAGTTGGCTAAAAGCTGGTATTCCAGGATCCAGGATATGAAGGTCTTATCTTGTCTCGTACTGCTATACCCACTATAGAAACGGATTTCCATGGAAAGCCATCCAATCTGCAAGATCATTGCGACCATCGCATGCTGCGCTCGTAACATGGAAGAAGGTCTTGACCGCATGGGCACTGCTGAGGACTCTATACTACACAATCCGCAAGCGTTCAAGTGAAACTTGAGCTCAAGCTCGGCCATCGCGGCGCGGGTCGATCGGACCGACTTGGTGTTGTAGCAGCTGTGTTAACACTCTCCCATATACTTAGGATGCTAGCCATGTTCGATAGAACATTATCTTGGTAAAGACTGTGATTTGAACTACATTCAGCTTAGCTAAAACAGAAGATTCGGACGCCAACCCGTATGTGCATAACGCCTTCAAGACAGTCTTCAATACTGTGTTCATCATATATCGCCCTGTTCCACGTCAGTAGACGGTCCACGGTCTCACTCGAAAAGCCTCTGATAATCCCTCTTGGCCTTTGTAGTGCAAGCCGGTGTCTTGGTCGAAGTATGCGTAGACGTCGCCGTCTTCATATGCCAGACTGTGGAAGTAGAGGTCCAAGTCGCGTGCGAAGTCTTGGTCCGCAGCGGACCATTCTGGACGTGCGTAGAAGTATGCCCGGCGCAGGTGATCACAACTGTCTTGGTCTTATGATTACCTCTCCCCACCAGATCAGCGGCGCGTTTGCTGTTCTTGGGACAAGCCGTTGGCGTCGCGGTAGCAGTAGTAGAACAAGGTACTGTCAACGTGCTAGTGCTAGTGGAGGTTGTAGTAGTGTAGGAAGTCGCCACAATCTGAGTGGCGGTGATGGTCGAAACTTGGGTCAGGGTTATCGTTGTTGTGCTCGCAGAGTTCGTAACTGTGGAGGTGATGGTCTGGTACAAGAAGAGAATGTCAGCATTGATCGGCGAGGAGTCTCGGTCTCGCCTTACTGTGGTAGCGGTAGTGGGAGCGGCAGTCGTAGCGGTTGTAGCGGTCGTAGCGGTCGTTGTCAATGGGATGATAGCAGCACCGCAAGCACCATTCGGATCAATAGCATTCGTATCCAAGGTCACGGCCGCAGTGATTGCAAAGAATCCTCCACCGAGGAGCGAGGTCCCAGTCGTGACTGTGATGGAAGCCTGGGCAAGCACATTGCCAGCGAAAAGAGTGCCAGTTCCCAGTGTAGCCGAGCTACCGACTTGCCAATAGACGTTGCAAGCATTAGCACCATTGATCAAGACCACTGAAGAGGCTGAAGCAGTCGTCAAGGTTGAGCCGAACTGGAAGACGAACACTGCGTTCGGGTTGTTCTGGCCATCAAGTGTTAAAACACCAGTCAACCCACCCGAGGAGGCGAAGTTGTACACGCCAGGGGTTAAGATCTGTCCTCCGAGATCAGTGCCAGTCAGGGATGTTGTCAAAGGCAGTCCAGCAAGTGCCGTGAACGCGGTCTGGAGATCGGCTTTGGCCTGCACGGCCGCAGCATTGTCGATGTCTTCGCCAGCGTTGATACCCGGAGGGAAGCCTGTGATCGATGATCCAGGCGACAGACCTATTCGGGCGTTGATGACGGTCAAGCCAGTATTGGTGATTGTTGATCCAGCGAGTATAGCATAGTTGCTTGCCGTGCCAAGTGAGATCTGCTGGGCGTAGGCTGTAACGGCAGACAGACTCATTGCACAGAGAAGGTGCTTGTATTGGAACATGATGAAGCGAGTGGAAGACTGAGGATTTGTGATGCTCAAGTTGAGATGGAAGTGCTGCAAGTTGAGTAAGATGGAGAAGGGAGAATCCTGTTCAGTCGGGGATGACCTACTTTATACCTTATGGGTGCGCATATGGGTACGAGCGACCTTCTACTTACCTGACCAGATAGCAGAATGCCATCAAGGGCCGACTATGCGCACCTGTACGCATCGTCAGCCGATTGCCAATACCAAACCAATGCGTACCTGTGATATCACTAGCGTTCGCTCTCGCCGAAGACTAGCACGCAGTCGTGGCGCATCGATATGCTCCTACGATACTCTTCGTTGGCCAGCGGCAATGATATTCACAAGTTCCAAGTTTTGAACCTGTCGATCGGAAGGCTTGCAAGAATCTCAGTCCAGGATCTCTTGTCGCTCTAAGGTGATTGTCACATCCAGACCTTCGAATCTATATCCACCACAATTGTGGATGTCCGGCTGTGTCATTGTTCAGCTATCCGCCAATCACATCCCCATCGTGTGACTTGCCTCTTGGGCTTGTTGACTGTGGTCTGGTCCAGCTCAACGCTAAGCAAGCGCTCTGTCTTGTGCGCAGACAGGTAGCGGCAGAAAGAAGCGACTTCGATTCAGATTCAGACGCAGTGCGGGAGCAGGGGGTATTGGATGCATTGTGACATATCGCTAGCTGGTACGATCATAGGCAAGACGCCGACTCCACGGCGGGTGCCGCCGTTGTAGTAGATGCTCAGAGACCGAGGAGACCATGCAAGACTCGATGCTCTAATACAACGTCCCTGTGAGCCCGTAATTGTGGTGTTCTCGCACATGGAGTAGTGCGTAATATGCCGGTCGAACCACCTGTGTGTGAGCTAAACTTGTGGACCTGGGGATCCCGATAGTCAAGCATTATTGACAGCTATGCCAAGGCCAGTCTCCCAAGCGTTAGGGCTGCTTGCATCGCACCCAAACGAACGGTCTCCATATTGCGTGCTCTTAGCAGCGCACCTCAAGCTGCTTGGGGTACGGGACGGGCTGATGGTGTGCAGGGGCAATGGGCAGAAGTACCAATCGACCAGTAAGGCTTGGCTTCGAATAGCCTGACAGGTTCATTGTCGTCTAATGCTCATCGTAAAAGGTAGGGGTGGATACCAAAGCGGACTCCGACAATCTCGCCAGGGCTCTGGTTCAGTAACGGTACCATCAGGACCAACATGTACCAGGATTTGCCACAGTCCGTCATGGTATCTGCTAGACGAAACCTCTCAAAAGAGTTTCCAGATGCTAGGCTTCCTAGACAGCACTATAAGCTAGCAATGTCTTTGTCTTAGGATAGGCTCCGCAGTACGCATAGAGATGATCTATGTGAGATGTTGCACTTGTGTTCGTCACATCTACTAGCGCGGATGGATAAGTCGGCGCAATCGCGTGGTTGTGTTGTTGGGGGTATCAACCTTACCATCAGTCTGGCTCGCGATAGGATAAGACCAAGTCACCTGATCGTCATCGCCTATGTCATGTTGTATGTTCAAGAAGGGGCTGCATGAACGATGCTGATATATGCAGGGCTGGCAGTCTAGGCTAGCGATTGCGGGGAACTGCACTAATGTTTCTTCGGGCTTGTTGGAGATTTTGCCTCCGTACGTCTAGGCTTCTGTCTAAGGCTAGTCATCGAGCCCTCGCTTACTGCTCGCGTGCAGAAAGTTACACTACGACGACGCCCCTACAGATCGAAAAGCGGACAGCTTCACACTTTTCTAGCAGGAGATAAATCCTCGCGCACACACTAACGGCTTGATTGTTGCGAGCGTGGGTCCGGGATGGACTGTCGAAGTGTGCTGCTACGAGACATCTTGTTAGTTCTTCTTGGGATGCTCGGTCATTATGACGACTCAATTTCGCTACCATTGCTATGGCAGGTCCCTGTCACTGCGCAGCAACAGGCTGAGTTTCACCTCTGTGGATCGCCTTCGCGTGTATAAGTGGAGCTAACCTACTTTGCATCGCTCGAGATACTTTCAGGATCAAGCTAACTGTAGGCAAGTCTTAATCTATAGATTTACGCCTACATAAGGAAATTAAATACGAGTTACACTACCTAACTCTCGACGATATTTTGTAGCTAGTATAGATATCTAGCTACTTAGATAGTTATATAAGATATATAGTATTTTATTACTTTAAGTCTATATAATATATAAAACCTAGAATACTCTAGTTACTTTAATACTATAGGTATAGCTTCTAGGTATATATAGTATTACTATTATATTAAGGTATTCTTCTAGTTATATAGAAGAGCTATAATACTAATAAACTAGTTCTTACTTTATTTAATAATCTAGAGAGTATATATGTTACGGACATATAATATAGGGTATAGAGAGGGAGAATAAGGACTAGTTATTTTAGCCTTAAAGGGAAGCGCTAAGGGCGCACCCG